CGTTGCACTTTCCTGGTTGTCCGCCCCCGGTGCTCCATCTTTAACTTCAGCTGCTCTTTCCTTTTGTTTTCGGACAAGCAGGAAACTTTGACTCGCCCTTTCGAAGAGGAGGGATGAAACTCGCCGCAATGTGTGCAGCAGTGATAAGAGCACAGAGGGGGGTAAGGGGGGGGAATAAATACATAAAAATAAATAGCTGCCTCTTCTACAGTAAATTTCCCAGAGGAGTACCAACTGTAAACAAGTAATGACGCTATGCTTTCTGGGACTCATCCAAACTGGACTCCTCTCCTGTTTTTTTTTTTCAGATATAAAAGCCAGCCGGATCATTAATTAGACGATTTATATGTAAACCTTCAGCTTTCGCGTCACCTAGGTGACACAAACACACACCGTTCCCAATTCCAATACATCTGCAGGAGAGATTCTTACTTTCTGGCTCCAGGACAGGCATTTCCCAGAACCACCATCAAACTCTTGACAGCTGAACAATCAAACTGATTTCTGGAAGTTCGCCTCCACGGGGTTAAAGTTTGACTTGCGATGTAAAAGGAAGTGCTCTTTTTATTTCCTTCCTCTAGTCAGGAAGTTATAATGCCATGTTGCAGGCACAGTGATAAAAAATAAAATGTTTCAGAAAGGAGCACGATCAAACGTTTCAGGACACGTGAGAAGCATCATGAGATTCGACTGTGGGAGTTAAATTTAAAAAAAAAAAAGACATTTCTTCTGGATATAAAATATCTACAGGGAACTGGTGTGACAATGCGGCTCGCAGGAAAAAATAATAAGTGGCATTGGATTCATCAGATCAAGATGAGGCTTAAGTGTTTGAGGAAAAGCCATGCCGTTTGTTGTTTGCTTAATTTCACAAATAAGAGTAAAGGTTTTATAAATAACAAACTACATTTTTTAAAAATCAGTAATTAGTTTAGAGTAGGCCATTTCAGGTTTGACTAGCTTGTTTTTATGCTTGTGTACTTAGCCTACATCCGGAAAAAGTAATGCAAACACTCACTTTGTGTTTTCAAGGACAGTATAGATGTCGAATTATTTTTCAGAAAAGTATTACATTTTGACCTCAATCTGGTCACATCAGTCCAAACAGAAAGACAGAAACAGCCATTTGGTTTAGCACAAGGAGGAAGTTTTTGAAGGAGATGCTAACTTTTAGCATTGCTAGCCAATAGTTACCCAGTTGTGGCGCTTACATAGGCTTCACCAATTATTTCTACCTTGTCTCTTACACTTGTTTTTTCCCTGACAAGTATTCATAATATTGTCAATTAAATAAAAAAAATTGATGGATATCTCGTCAATATTTTCGAAGCCAGTCGTTATTAGCCAGGCTAACTCGTCACTGTTATGAGCCAACTGTCAACACAACAAAGTCACTCAAGAAATAGTTGCTTTTGTGCTTCAAAATAAGAATCCAAACTTTATCGTGTCTCCCTTCACATTTTTTAAGCCATGGTATCAGACTCCACTAACTTCTACAGATAATTTTAATGGTTTGGGCTTTACAAGACACACGCTATGAGAAACATTGTGGCTTCTTAGTATCCCACAACCTCATTCCATCCAAACAAGGATACAAATGAAAATTAATGGCACACATCATTGTTTCCCTCAAATAAATGAACATTCATTTGATATCTGAGGACAATCTGTACACAATGTGCCTCAAATTGTTAGCATGTCTCTAACAAGCTAACAAGCGATACGATTACTTGTTAGCATGTGTCGGCTTTCATCTCCAAAGCACTCGCTCCTTACATGGAAACAGACAGAACACTGGCATTTCTTTGGGCACAACCGCCAGATTAGACGAGTGGTTTTGTTTTATGCTTCTGACAAGATAGTCACGCATCAGAGACGGCTCACATGTAGAAAAGGACATTGGCAGTTAGCAAGGCTAGTCCATCCAGCTGGATTGAAGGCCAAACTAAAACAAAAACAGCCTTCCTTGCCTTGTGTTGACTTGCTGAACGTAATCCATCTTGGGAGCTGACGGTTAAACCGAGCCCGACTACTGGCTCATGGTTTGTACGTCCTCTCAAGTAGAAAGGGGCCCTCAAGTGCATAGTGCAAGTCTTCCAGGTTGAGAGCTCAGGTTCATCGGTTGTCCACTTCATCTTGATAACAAAACATCTGTCGGTGTTCTTCAGTCCGCTTTTGAAGGTTTATTAGAGTGTCCATTAAAAACACCAAAACCTCTATCATACCACTTTGAGTCAAAGTATGGGGAGGGCTCAAATTGAATTAATTCACATACTAAAATATATTTTAAACAACTTACAGAAGAAGTTTAGAAGAAGTGTGTGAAAGGCACAAGTGAGTGACAGGACTAAATAAATCTTCCCCAACAGAAGACATTGGTTTCTCTTTTCAGCTTAATGCGGCGCAACAAACCAAATCTTGGTAGCACATGATAATTGGTTCCACTGAAACTCTCAGCAGTTCTGAGGCTCATCTTTGGAGCACCCTCTGCTTATAACTAAAGACTGTGTTAACTCTGTCTTCTTCATCAATACCCTTCAAATCAATGAAGATATTCAAGATATTCAAAGTTCTTGCTTTTAAAGACAGATGCTAGTTGCAAGGCATTTCAAATCTGAAATATAATAATTAATTCTTAAGCCTGTGGGGTTTTAAAATCAAAAATGTCTGCCGTAGATAAAAGTAACTGATGAGAAAAGGTTCATCTGCATATGTGATGATTTATTCTTTTGACATATTCCTAGAAACACCATCTGGTTGATCCTGTTCCAGTTTGTAATGTCTGTTTTTTCAAAATATTCCTTTTTTGAGACACTTCAGACGAAGGAACAGACCCTCCTAAAATAACGGCCTGAGTCACTTTTTGTCAAAAGTGATTTTGGCAAAAAATAAATAAATAAACAATCCAGTTTGTGGCGGGGGGTGACTTTAGGAAGGTGAGGATATTGGAAATATTTATATTTTTGACTCTTGGTGCTATTTAGCACCTGACTTTGTCAATTTATCCTACAAAGCCAAACTTTCATTAAAAACATTTAAAGCAGCACCCTACAAGGGAGAATATGGATTCAAGCTTTTACTAATAATAGTAATAATAATATATGATTTATAATTAGAATACAAAAACTCAATGTGAGGTCAAAATTGTACTTATTTTTGCAACAAAAAAAAAAAGCAAAAGCAAATAGTTTTTACCTCTGATTTAAAGTTAAATATAAAGAGATGAAGATTAAGGATACAGTCTTGTCTAAGTGCTGCACTTATCCACTACAAATCTCAAATACTGTTAAAGAGAAAGAAAAGTGTTTTATCCAATTTCATACCCCCCCAGACATACGCCATCAACCACAGAACAAATGAGGTCAGAGCCTTAACCTTCGTCTTTCTTCATCCTCAGCCTTCAGCTGGCCCAACCAGCGCCACGGGAAAGTGGGGGTTACTTAACGTATGCAGGCGCAGAAAAGTCTGTGTGATGTCTTACACACACACACACAGCAGAAGTACTCAAGAACACATTCCTTTTAGCAAAGCTTTGGATTACAAACATGACATTTCCCTTTTGAACTCATGAGGGGGGGTGGAGGCTTCTAACTGTAATGCCTTCATCGCTGCTTCGATTGAGGAAAATGGAAACTGGCAGGTTTGTGGTGATCGTCACTGGGCAGAAAAAAAATATATATATAGGCTACATACGTATGTAAGGCATCTCATCTGCCTATTTTGTGGAGTGGAAAATGCATCCCATTCCACTTAGAATTTAAAAAAAAGAAACAAAAATAGTTTATCTGTAGAGTGCTTGCATCAAACCCAGCAACATGAGAACCGATGCAGCCGTTTGTGAGGTCACACATGTCAGAGGAGAACATATATATATATATATATATATATATATATATATATATAATATATATATTATAATATATTATATATATATATATATATATTATATATATATTATATATATATATATATATATATATATATATAATATGATTGTGATCAAACTTTTAATCAGCGAAATCATTGATTTTTTTTGTTATTTTTTTGCCCTCTAGAGAAAAAGCATCACTGCTTCTTTTTTGTTTTTTCTATCTGAACATCTGGCCTGGTAGACTGTAAATCCACTTTGACAGCAGCCTTGAGCTGCAGGGAAACCAACACACACCCACACACCCTCACAACCACTGAAGACGCGGACAGAGGAAGAAGAAGCAGAGCTGATAATTTACCAAACGCACCGTTGCAACGCATGCCAGGACAGGAAAAACAATCATCCCCAGCTGCTAATTTTAGACTCAAGCGCTGACATTAAAGCGGACAAATCCGATTGAACACTATATAGCCTGCAGTGCGCTCACTGTTTCGCGCAAATGGATCAATCGGTCGCAGCGCAGGAGGAATTGGGCTGGAGGGCAAGAGACGAGTTGAGAAGACTTGTCTGCAGTTTTAGGGAGGAACAATTCAATCTGCAGCCGAGCGTCTGCAGAGCGTGGAATTTGAGAGAGGAGGGTCGGGAGGGGGGGAGAAACCGGTGACACTCCTCAGAGAGTGCGTGTGTGTGTGTGTGTGTGTGTGTGTGTGTGTGTGTGTGTGTGTGTGTGTGTGTGTGTGTGTGATGTAGTATTTTATGAATGTGTGACAAAGCTGAGCTGCTCTCCTTAAACTCGGGCTTTCCTGCAGCTGAGGGCTTGAGGGAGACGGGGGGGTTTTTTTAATTATTATTATTATTATTATTATTATTATTATTATTATTATTATTATTATTATTCAAGTTCATCTGAAAGCGTTTCTCATGCCCTCCCTACTCAGCCACATGTCTGGAATACGATCAACCTCGACGCGTTCTCGTAGGGCACAAATCCCCTGGAGTCGTGCGCGAAAAAAATAGATAAATAAATAAAAACTAGAAACCAAGAAGAGTGTGAGGGGAGTGAGGGGGTGGGGGGGATGAAGAGCGCAATAAATAACTAATTTCAAAAAATAATAAAAGAAAAACTTACCTCCTCTACAGTGAGGGGCATGCATATCCTGTACTCCTTCATTAACATCTTCTTCTTCTTCTCTCTGCGCGACCCCCGCTGTGTGTTCACAATAGTAGCAGCTCAGCAGAGAGTTTCCCCTCCCCGCCGCCCCGGCAGGATGTTGTGTGAGCGGAGCGCCGAGCTGATCTGGACGATGTCTGGCGTCAGCGCATGGACAGCCCGAGTTACGCTCGACTTCTTCCTTTCATCGGAACCAGCGGATCGTGTGAGTCTCCGGCATTGCCTTGTGTGACGTGAAGGTACCGGAGCCCCGGCTGCTTCAGGAGGACTGTCTCCTCCCACCGCGCCGGGGGGAGGAGGAGGAGGAGGAGGAAGAGGCGGCCAGTCAAGCTGGGAGCGCACAGGGAGGCGACGAATGAAGGCGCGTCGAAATAAGAGTCTTCGAAGCAGTCGAATCAAATGATCGAATGCAAGGATGTTGAAATAGCCTACATAGGCCTGAAATAGCCTATTACATTATCAAGTGTAATAATGAGTTGAAGTTAAAACAGCAAAAAAAACAAAAAAAAAAAAAAAAAAAAACAAATACAACAATTCAGTTAGATGTCATCTTTAGCATGGCTGCAACACAGGGTTCATTTTAGTCACCAATGTTCTACCAATTAATTGATTAATCGTATTAAAAAAATTGGCACATTGCAGATATTTCATTTACCCACTTACACGTTTTCAACAAAGTATTTAGAAATGAATTGAACAAAAAAATTACATTTATTTTTGAATAAGAAAATGATTGATTACTTGTAGCAGAGATAAAAAAAATACTTCTTAGATGGACGTCATTAGCTACTGTGCATGGGTAATCTGTTCTCTGCTTCTTTTTTTGATTGGCTGATTAATGGCAGAATAGCAAAAGGTGCTTAGATTTGTTTCACAGAATTTCAACCAGGTGAAGCTGAATCTATAACACTTCAGAAACTTTGGGAACATATTTACAGACAAAGAAGGCCTGTTTTTTTTTTCCACAAATGGCTTTTTTTTTTTTAAATTATGTATGTGTCAATTAACAATTAATCAAAACTTAATTGACGATTATTTCAGTAAATCGATTAATCACAACTGATCTGATTAATCATCTCATTGCTAATCTTTAGTCATTTCATCTTGGTGAGAAACACACCTAATCGGTTGTAAACCCCTGTACCATTGGCCATCAGTCAGCAGTATAAAAAACACTTCAAATAAAGTTATTATTAAAAAATTAAAACCAACAACAAAATATATAGCCCACATTCAAAAATTATTTTAATTTGAAGAGTCCATCCCGGATGTGAAGTGCCTCTGCCCGCTTCTTTTTTTTTTTTCCTTTATTCTTCTCCTTCTTGAGGTACCGTTAGGAATAAAGTCCAGTGTGCTTGTTAATGCTGGTTTTGAACGCAGCAGTGTTTCCAACCTGAACCCCACGTCAAGGTCAAACCAAACAGCCCTCCTCAATAAAAGGGGGCGGGGCTTACTCTCCTCTCGCCGCAGCTCTACTTGTCTCGACTTGAAAGCAGCTCTACTTTGGTATCGGAAAATAAAACCACGTTAACTAAAAGCCTCTTCGCTCCCCCGGGCGGCTGAGACACGAAGCGAGACGCGATGGAAACACTGGTAGACCGCAGCACAGGAAGTATCACCTCGCTGCTGCTGCTGCTGCTGCAGCCCTTCCTCGCTCTCACGCCCCTCTTCTTCTGTGGTTTCGCTGCCTTCGATGTCTTGCGCGTGCATAATTCCATCGCGCGGACAGTCGCGCGGCGTTAGTTCTGCTCACATGTCCGCTCAGGTGCTCGCTTGTTCGGCCTCGTCATGCAGTGCGCCCACTGCTGTTCTTCCGGCGTCTTTTTGCAAACGCTGACTCAGCGGGAAAACGATCCGAAGGCATTCGATACGAAATGAGATCCTTATCAGATCCTTTATTATCAAGTTAAAGATAAACAGAAGATCAAACTGAGGTAGAAAAATCCAGGAACACTTCAAAGTGAGAACAGGAGGCTATGCACTATGCGAATTCACAACATGCTGCAGATACAGTTTAAATGATTTGCTCAGTTTGAAATAAACTGAGCCCTGCAGTTTAGTCGTGTCAGGGGAGAAAAATGCACTGAATTCATTGGCTTAAAGAGAAAAACAATAAAACTGTTCCAATAAACAATACAGCTGCTTCTATTGATTGTAGAATCGCACAAATTGAAATTCAGCAAATAAATTTGCTGATTGGTATCATGCAGTTTTCTTGAAAAAAAAAACAAACAAACAACAACAACTATGTTTTTGGGGTACGACGAGGTGCCTTTTCTGACGTGTCGAAATAGTTTTGTCCCGTCACACGAGTCACGTGACCGGCAACCGGATGTTGCTGCTGGCGAAAGAAACAACGAAGAAGAAGACAGGAAGTGAAAAAGACTCATGGTTTGTCTTCGGTTTGTTTAGTTTCGGACAGTCATGTGCAGTTGGTTCCAGAGCTCTCACAGCTTCATGCAGTTCATAAAATGTTGCGTGTCATTCGAACGTGTCGAATCTGTAACTAAGATGTCACCCTGCAGTTTCCCTAAAAAACGCAGGACATGTAGCAGCTCCCCGGTATAAAGGGTTTGTTCCACCAATGCCTGAATAAGATGGCCGACAGACGATGAGCGCTGACGCCATGGCTGAATTATGACTACAGTAACCGCTTACATCCTTTGCTGCCATTGTTTTGAACAATTTATCGTCTAAATATACTTAGCATGTGATTTTATTTCAGTTTCTTATTTTTGATTTGTGTGCCTGAAACAGTTCCTTACCTATCAGGTTTCTGCAATCTTTACCTTGCAGACTTTACCTTGTGCGACTTTTCCGTTTTATTTTGTCTCTGAAGTGACTCGGTTTAAAGGATTTAATCTTACAGCTTGCTGCTTTTATTAATACATTACAACTGGGTTTTGTGGTGTAAAGACGAGTTTTCCCGTGTTATGTTTATACGTAATAACGTGTGTGAACGGTGTGTCACTGAAATGCAGAAGTGACTTTTTAATATCGTCTTCCAGCTGCAGCAGCAGCAGGAACCGTCTGCTCTCTGAATGGCAAATGAACCCTTTCGCAAAAGAAACAAAATTTGCTAAAATGACAATCCACTGACACTTATGACCCTGAGGCTCTGTTCTGGTGCTTCATAATATGCATAAGCCATAAAGTCTATTGTTCCATATGCTGTGGAGCAGATGCTTCTCGCATGAAAGAAACCAAAATATTTCTGCGTTTAATATTTAGGAAAGCATTTGTCACATGACAATTTAATAAGATTTCTGTTTGTTGATTGGAATAGATGTGCTTTTAAAAACAGTTTTTACTTTGGCCTATACTGCTAACGCACAAAGCATTGGCATATTTTGTTCTAAAATATAAACATTTCATGGCTCTTATCCACGGAGGATGGCAGCAATGGACCGGGTGCCTCCCCGGCGAGATGCCGCCCTGGGCCGCTGCCCATATTAGAAACTAGTTCCAGGTGTGCCTCCAGGGAACTCAAATTTGTGAATTAACCAATCAGAAGTTTCCAATAATCATTCTGTGTGCAATTTTGGTGTATGCAAGCTCCTGGTTTGCATATGCTGATCTATTTTGTGATTTAAATATATCAGCAATCCAACTCAGAAACTGTCATGTTTTGGTTTAAGCTTCTGACCCAGGGGACACAAGTAAAAGTGCAGGAACGTCCTGCCGAGAGCTTCCCTCCCAGAGTATGAACCTGCTGCTCCAGACTCAGTTCCGCCCCCTGGTGGAAATCTGCTGTCACAGTCACACAAATACCACACAACACCAACAACCCCAAAGTTTGACAGAAATGGAAACAAAATCACTGAAGATGTCAGTAAAGTTTGTAGCTTATTAATTACAAAAAGCTGTCCCAAAGGACCATTGACTACACACACACACACACACACACACACACACACACACACACACACACACACACACACACACACACACACGCACGCACACACACACAAAGGATTCCTGCTACAGCAGTAAATTCACATACAAAAAAGATTTATCTTTGTTTTATCTTCACTAAATGTGCATTTGTCAAATATTGTAGCCAGATTTCCTAAAGCTACTCCTCTCCTTTGTTTCTGAACAAACATCTGATGACCTATCACTTTAGAAGATTTAGTTCAAGCCAACATAATTCTACTGACCTGTTTTTGGAAATGTTGCCATATTGAGGCCTCTAAAGTAACACAGATTGTATTGTTCATTGTCCTTGGAGTTAACAAGAAGTTTGGCCTGTGCCTCACCGTGGAACAAACTCGTGAAAGCTGAGCCCCGACGGCCCAATGTTCGGGATGCCACTGTGATTTCAGCGGTCAGTCACGCTGACTTTGCCCAGAGCCCTGCTTCTCCGCGAGAACAACAGAAAACGACGTTGTCACATTATACCACAGTTCATTTTAATTGAAGGAGAGGTTGGGCTGCTGATTTTATTGACACAACTGACATTTTTGGATCCACTCAGCAAAATCTGTGCAGCAACGATGCTGAAAAAAACTGCCTTTTTGCCTCGTCAGCACGCATTTTCCCTCCACAGTACATTCCTGGCAGGGATGGCAAACCCTCCGAACCGGCATTTCAATTTGAACTCTCATCTTCAGTAAACAGGTGAATGAATGAGCTATTTCTACCCAACCCAATGCTGTCAAACATAACTTATCAGAGTGTTAATCGTAAATGAAGGCAATGCAATAAAAAAAAAAAAAGTAATTACTTAATATTACGCTGCAGTGTCAACCTATATACACATTTTCCTTCACACAGCAGTGATACAATGAATTGCAGTTCCATTTTAATGAAATGATGCTAAGCTATAAATAAGTGCCTCAAGCTCAAATGAAATTAATTAACTTCTCAGGCAAAATTGCTGTTACAAAAAAAAAAAAAAAAACCTCTTGTTGTGTTTGAGTATTATAAAATTCCTGAGGGTGCTTTAGTCTAATTTTACAAATTAAACCCCCAATTGTTTCACCAATTTATATATGGCTACACCAAATACTGCCTTTTATTTTTATTTTGTTTGTTTGTTTGCCAAAATATAAGTTATAAATACACTGAAAATATTGAAAATCCTCAGATTTTTCAGGAGCTGTGAAGCAGAATAGCTGAGCACAGTATTCTTAAATGTGCTATTTAATCATCTTTGACGTGCAGAGAAATGATTGTAGAATCTTTCATATCAGGAAATTATATTATTTCCTGTAATTTTTTAAAAGAAATGTTAAAGTTCCTTTTTTTTTTTCTTTCCCCTTTTATGGCACCCTTAGCATTTGGTGACTAAGAAGCTTGCTTAAGTAATTTGAAATATTAGCCATCTTAAATGTTTCGTATCTCATCATTGTTTCACTTAAGCTGAGTCACACTCTGTGTATCAGGCATTATTCCTGCATGTGTTTTGGGCAGTAAATGGTTTGGGACAGTTTCTCACCAACAAGCAGGGAACATTTCACTGCTCTGTGCTGCTGAGCAAAGACAGACAAGATTCAGATAATGTGAGGACGCCTGCTGGTGGACTGTTACCATGGCACTGTGCTCTGCTTCATGTGCTCACATCCTTCCACAAGTCGACTGCAAAGCTGTGCTTGTGTTTGGTTGTTGCATCAGTTCAATTCCGCTCAGTTAAAAATACTTTAGTAATCCCAGAGGCAAATGAATACCATTAATCCCAACTGCTTTCATTGTGATTTCACTAATTGAGGCTTTGGAAGGAACGGGAACACGACTGGAATAGAAATCGATTTTATTTGACCTTTATTTATATAGCTTAAATCTCATTTAGAAAATAAATTCTTTGTCTCAAGAGAGACCTGCCTCAGAATTATATAAACCCACAAATGCTCCAAGCACAACAAGAGTGCAAGTTCCTTTAAAGGTACAGTGTCAATAGTAAGTTTATCATTAATTAAATCTATGGCTAAGAACAAAAACACAAACCCCAGTGATTAAGCTTCTTTTGGAGATTATGCTGGGTTAGTGGTGAAGGGTACATAAAGGCTTTCTTTCTTTCTCATTGCTGTGTGTACTTTAAGAAGCTAAATGTTTAACATTTTTGCATTCATTTTATTCTCAACTAATAAAAGTGTTCACTGTCAAACTGAAAGGGTGCCTTTAATTTCTGGCACTTCATCAGTCATTGCAAATAAAGTAATAACTGATCTGGTTTTATATCTGGTTAACACATCAGTAAATCTATGCTTTAACAAGTGTGAAATTCAACGTCTGAATTTTAAAATGACCTCTAGTCTAGGGGACAACATTTTTTTTTTCATTTAAGAATAAACACGTGTTTCTCGTTTGCCTGTACTCATTAAGTTCATTGTGTTACATTCAATTTCAGAGGGTTATAACTGATATTGGCGTCGAATAGAATCTTAAAATTGTGGACTTTAACATGTTAAATAAAAAGTTCATGTATTTTAACCAGCTGTATGTACTATTTCTCCTCTGTTCTGCATTAAAGATGATATACTTTTACTGACACGTGGTATTTTGTGTATTAATTAAACATTTCTTGTTTCTGCATATTTAATTTTTTTGGTCTTATTTATTGGTCGGACTCCGTTCATACTGTTTGAAGTTTTGCAACTCTGAAAGTACAGTTAACCGTAAAACTAGGGCTGCCTTTGTTGCGCCTGACAGAAATGACAATATACACATTTTTTTTTTTAAGAGACGTCCTTCTCGGGTCTTTCAGGCACCGACCCAGCCATCCCATTCTCTGTTCTGATTGGTCACCTCCTAGTGTCGTTCATTTGACAGGACAAACAGCGTCAGGCAAAGAAAAAGAGTTGTGGTTTGTCCTTTTTTCCCAGTCGTAACAATGTCTGAGGAACGATCTGAGAGGTCCGATGGAAGGATCGTGAAGATGGAGGTTGATTACAGTTCCACTGTAGATGAGAGGCTTCCGGAGTGCGAAAAAATGGCCAAAGTAAGTGAGCTTTTAACGGAAGGCCGGCGCTGGCTGAGTCATGGTGCATCCCGATCGGTGCGCTAGCACGAAAGCTATCACACAACCGAGGTGTCTTCAGTTTTATCATAACATGACCAGATATACTGAGCACATATTACTTATAAGTTAGAATATGTGTTTTTTTTAACCCGCTCTTAATACCACATTGTTTTTCTTCTTCTAAAACTCCAGAGTTTGTTGTTGAAGAGAGACTAGCTATGTTTAGCACTGAGGTTAGCTTCTTCAGAAGTAGCCAACCTGCTAACCGGTCTCTTTAACTCTTCTGCAAGAAGAGGGGCGAAAAAAGCTTGGCGTTCGTAATGTTTGAAAAAGATGTTAAAGTTCATGTTTTTCTGTTCTCTTCTACAGGAGGGGAAGTTACAAGAGGCTATTGAGAGTTTGTTGTCACTGGAGAAACAGACCAGAACGGTAAGCAGCGCTGGAAATTGTTTACATTCTACATTTACATTACAAATAAGAAAGAACTACATTCATAAGAACACCAAAATAATAATTCCTTGTGTCCAAGAAGTGATGCGAGAGCTTTTAATTCTTCTTAATAGAAGAATTAAAATTACAATACAATTTAACATGTATAGTGTTGGGTTATTTTTGACACAGCTCAAATATGAGTCAGGAAGTTCATTTGATCATTTTTTTCTCCTTTCTTCTTAATTATTTTGTGAAACGTATATGAATTGAAATTCGGGGGAAAAAAAATTGTGAGGCAGAACTTCTTTTCATCTTGATTTAACATCGATTCAGGATCAATGTAGCGATGGAGCTTGTGTGGTGTTGCCAACCACTCAAAGTGCCTTTCCATTGTTAGTCTCATTCACACAGCAGTGACTTTCACACAAACATATGACTGACAGGCATATTTGACTTCAGTTGCCTGCGTCCCGTTAGCTTGGCGTCACTGGAGCTCCGGTGTAGGAGAGCATTTCCACCTGCAGCCTGAGTCTCAATGGGCAGGCAGGCAACGTTGAACCCAAACGCCTAATGCGGCGCCGTGCCAGTGCGATGACAAAAATGATGCTCCAGTGTGTCTCGTGCTTGTGGCAAGCAGTGACGCTTTTCTGTTCCCCACATTGTGACCTATCAGAAATATTTCCAGCCAGCCAAATTTTCAGCTTTGGCAAAGAAAAAGCTAAAAACCTCAAAAAAGAAAAGGAAAGAAAAAAAAACATTATCTTAGCAAGTCTTGGGCATGAATTGTGTTCAGAGCTACACAAGTTAACAAAAACTAACTGGAAAAGTTTAGTTTGGTGCAGTTATCTTGAATATATCTCAGAAAATTTTGACCAAAATAATTTATTTAAGAAAAAAAAAACACTTCACTTAAAAATTTCAGCTTGCTAATCTGCGTAGGTGTATTTAATGAACAGATTCTGTTTGAATTTTTCACAGGCATCGGATATGGTGTCCACCTCCAGAATCCTCGTGGCTGTGGTCCAGATGTGTTATGAAGCAAAGGATTGGGACGCTCTTAATGAAAACATCATGTTACTCACCAAAAGGAGGAGTCAACTCAAACAGGTCAGTGCTCAGTTTACCCTGATCGCTCCGTTCTTCATAACTTTGCCGATCTCTTTACCGGTGGCCTCCTCAGTTAAAAGGCAGAATTAAACAAAGAACATATTTTAATTTGAAGTCCTTAATGCATTAAAGTGAAAAATAGAAATTTTTCAAAGTACTTTTGTGAGATTGTCAGTCATCAAATTGAGTTTTTCTACTGCAATACAAAACATTACTATACTGCAAATTTTGTAATTTCTGCAAAGTTAGCAGAAATTCCAATATCTGCACAATTTTCTATTGCAGATACAATATTTGTATCTGCAATACAAAATATGACAGCATATGAACGAACATATGAGTGTTTTTTTCAAACTTGTATGAAAAATACGAGTTTGATATTTCAACCTAGTTGAAATATGAAACTCCAATTTCAATGAGTTTTGAAATATGCTCATAAACAATGTAACTTTCCTTTGTATTTACTGTGGCCTAAATATGTGATTTGTTTTGCTCTTCATCTCAGGCTGTTGCCAAAATGGTGCAGGAATGCTACAAATACGTGGATGCAGTAACTGATCTGAACATCAAGCTGCGTCTTATAGACACACTTCGCACTGTGACTGCCGGAAAGGTATGAAATCCCTTGACACCATAATTAGGGATGCACCAAACTGTGCAGTAAACTATGGTCATTGTGACCTTATAAGACTGGAGAGTTCTTAAAAAAAGAAAAAAAAATTGGTCAAAAAGAATGTGCTTCAAAATAAAAGCGTGAATATAAATGACTAACTACTTGGAGATTTGGAGAAGTCGATGCAGATGTTGAACCTTATTCAACGGAAAGCTTTCAAAACAGCCATGTAAATTAGCTCTTTAGAATTTATCTGGAAAAATCAGTTTAGGTAAAGTTAAGTATACTAAATGTTTTCAAAGTTAGCAAAAATGCTAAAGCACTAAATGGAAAGAAAAATTGCTCTGCTACTAGTGGAACAATTTATTTAAAAAAATTAATTTAGCGGTATTGACAGGAAGCTAAGTGGACTAGATGTTTCCAAACTCGGCTAAAGCGCTAAGATTAATTCCCCCAAGCATAAATTTAGGGGAAGCAAAGTGCAGTAAATGTTTTCAAAGTTAGCAAAGGGTGTTGTTGGAAAATTAGCACTTCTGCTAATCCCCTAATAGTGTGACCAGTTACAGTGGTTTCCAAACTGCCACATTTTCTCGTTTTTGCAACAAAGGCAAAAACATTTTTGCATTTTTCAGTCACGCAACCGACGAGTGAGAGAAGTGCTGGCCCATGTCCACTCTGATTTTGCCCTTTAAATCCATTACTAACAGGTACGCTAGCTGCGTCTCACAATGCACTAAATGGTTCTCTCTGACAGATCTATGTAGAGATCGAGCGTGCAAGGCTGACAAAGACACTGGCTAACATCAAGGAGCAGAGCGGCGACGTCAAAGAGGCTGCCGCCATTCTGCAGGAGCTACAGGTGCGACCCAAACCTTTTTATGCACAATTAATACGCGAGTTGCTGAGACCCGTCTCATTTCCGGGTCATTTTTCTTGTCGCTCAGGTGGAGACGTATGGCTCCATGGAGAAGAAGGAGAAGGTGGAGTTCATCTTGGAACAGATGAGGCTCTGCATCGCTGTCAAAGATTATATTCGCACCCAGATCATCAGCAAGAAGATAAACACCAAGTTCTTTCAGGAGGAAGGGACCGAGGTAAGAGACGCTAGCGGTCCTCGTTTGCATGTCTTCTCTCAGAAGCTGTTGCGTCCTCTACTATTCATTCTAACTGCGTACTTCAACTTTTATGTAATTATTATTTTGTCAACACAGGAGCTGAAGTTAAAGTATTACAACCTGATGATTCAGGTGGACCAGCACGAGGGCTCCTACCTGTCGATATGCAAGCACTACAAGGCGATTTATGACACGCCCTGCATCTTGGAGGACAGCAGCAAGTGGCAGCAGGTAGAGAGACGACATGTTTTGGGCAGGTTTTTGTTTCGGAGGAGAAACGATTTAGCGTTTCACTCCTTTATCAAGCGTGACTGTTTTCTAGAAAGGTTTTAGGAGATGTTTCCTGAAACTGCCGTTTGCAAAGTTCTTGTCAAACATCAAATGTGGTTCTCACTGACTGAATCCTGGTCGCGCATGTCGGCTTAATATAACGCAAGGACCAAATGTTAACGATCAGCTAACATTTTATTTTCTGCGCGTTTCGCCCTGCAGGCCCTGAAGAGTGTGGTGCTGTACGTGATCCTGTCTCCTTACGACAACGAACAGTCAGACCTCGTGCACAGAATCAGCGCCGACAAGAAATTGGAAGAAATCCCCAAATACAAGTAAGACGGCCCGTGCTTCGACATTGATAAATCAATCACGACACGCGGAGGGTCACGTTCTACCTCTTTTCCCAGGGACCTTCTGAAGCAGTTTACCACAATGGAGCTGATGCGCTGGGCCTCGCTCGTGGAGGATTATGGGAAGGAGCTGAGAGAAGGCTCGTCTGAGAGCCCGGCGACGGACGTCTTCTCATATTCAGAGGAGGGCGAGAAAAGGTGGAAAGACCTTAAGAACAGGGTGGTGGAGCATGTAAGTCATTCATATATTGTTGCTATACAAGTTTGAGTTTGTTTGTGTGCCAAGGCTACAAAGAGCATCGCAAAATGTACGATTTGCGTCACGTTAAATTATTGACGCAATTCAGGATTCAGAAGCTGCCCAGTTGGGTGTTTCTTGGCATAGGACAGATAGATTGCAACAAATCTTGTTTACATCCAGTCTGGCTTCTCCTGTGTTTGACTGTTTTGACTGTGGATTCTTTGAAAACAATCTGATGCGTGTTTCAAATTAGTGGAAGTCGCTCCAATCGGATTTTTGGCTCCAATCTGATTTTTGTTTCGGGTGAAAAGATCGGAAGTGGGCTGTTCGGACCGGAGTAAAAAAGCCAGAAAAAATATCTGATTTGTGTCGCATTCACCTGCTGTGTCAATGTAGCCAAGACATGGCCAGGCACTGGAAAACAACTTATGTTGGGTTTTTTCTTTCTGTCTCAGAACATCAGAATAATGGCCAAATATTACACCAGAATCACAATGAAAAGGATGGCTGGCCTGCTGGACCTCTCTGTTGACGTAAGCGAACCTTTTAGCAGCTCGTTCTACCCGAAGCTCATAGCACCACCAAAAAAAAAAAGCAACGTCACTAATCCACCTGTTCAAATCCTACGCCAGGAATCGGAGGAGTTCCTCTCCAGCCTCGTCGTAAACAAGACCATCTACGCCAAGGTCGACCGGCTCGCCGGCATCATCAACTTTCAGCGGCCCAAAGACCCCAACGACCTGCTCAACGATTGGTCGCAGAAACTCAACTCCCTCATGTCGCTGGTCAACAAGACCACACACCTTATTGCCAAGGAGGAGATGATCCACAACCTGCAGTGACACGAGAACAGTTTCTACTTTCATGTTGTTGTTTCATGTTCACTTTTGTGTATGTTCAGGGGGAACTGTGACGTGTTTGTACAGTACGTTAGCGGAATACCGCCACGGTGCCCGATTGCAGTATCGTAAGATTTGGAAACAAAGCAACCGCAAAACACACACGCCCTCTATGAGTTGTTTCTTTTTTTTATTGTCTAGAAAAACATTGACAATAAACGTATTGTACCTCCAGTCTCTGCATTTTCTCCTCTCTGTTTAATGTAGTTTTATTATAGTTCAAGATTTTATTTTTTTTATGGAAAGATTACTGAAATTCAAATGCAACCAGATATTTGTAAGCAAGATAAAATGACTCACAACCACTATTTTTTTTTATCTTTCCTATTTGCTAAATAGGAAATGTTTAAGTTAAATAAACCAAAATTAGATTCTGTTAGACAGGAAAGTGAAAGGAACATTTATGGAGATGTTGTTTTTCATTTGAACTTTTCAGAAGTTTACAGTACATGTACTAAAATTACTTTGCATTTAAACAGTTTTGGAAAGCTCAGGTGGCTTTTATAGTCTTCTGAAATGTTTAATTCCCAATATCTAAATTGAAAGGAGACAGACTGTAATAGGTTGGCCCTTTACGGCTGGATTTTTCAGTGCAGATCGATGATATCAGGCAGAGTTTAGGTGGAACAGCAGGTTTATTCCTCCCAGCATCACAAACAATGTCACACTCTTGGTCTCACAAATCTCAATGTCTCAATATCTCAAAATCTGTCTCACAGGTGACAATTGCAATCTTAAATAGTCCCAGCTGTGACAGTTAAAACTATCTGAAAATTCATAAGATAATCCCATCTTACCCTGTTCCCCTTAATTGAATAAAACATTTAACTACAACCACATCAACTTCCTTTTTATAAATATTTTTTTGTTGTTTAACCTTACCCTTACTAAAACACCATAAAACAGTACACCATAAAACAATACACCCCTCTCCCATTCTTCTCAATGGTCTCTCCCAGGACCTATAACATTGTCCAGCCCTTAGGACAATATTTGTCCAAACATCCTGAGAGGACACAGAAAAATACAGGTAAGTCACTATATTAGCATTCCACACCTAATAAATTATGCACATCATTTATTTAGTTTTATCCACCAATAGCTCATTGCTCTGAGTATCAATTCTCTCTCTCCTCACAGTTAACCACCTCCACTGGCCAATGAGGAGCAGCTGTGCAGAGCCCAGAACAAAGGCTACACACCAATCCCTAAAATACTCAATAAATACAATTAAAACTTCCTGAGTGCAAAATGTTAATTTATAGATCTATTTTAAAAGTGCAGTGCTAAATAAAGTGCATAGTGAGAAAGTGCAAATGTTTTTACAGTGCTATACAATACATTGAATAAATTAATTCAGTAATGAAGGCCTCTTCATTACACAGACCTATAAATGCTTTTTATGACAAAATGTCAAAAATACTTCATAATGAAAAAAATAATGTTGAATTGGTGGTAAATGTGTGCATTAATACCAGAAATCAGGCAGAAAAAAGCCTTATGTAAATGCTGGCTGAAGCTAGTACGATGGTGTCAGTATCCGCAGTGAAATAAGCAGAAGCAACATAAAGAGCCAGATTACACTTGTGGACAATAATCTTAATTTTAGGGAACATATCCTTCAGCCTGGTGTGACTAATGAACTATTTGGCTTCACTGACCAATCAGAAATTGGGAAGAAAAAGGCTTAAGCTTGGAGAACTGAGGATGATATCTCAGCTGTAAAGCACAGCGGTGGCAGCGTTATGTGTTTAGTTGCAGGAAGGAGTGGTGCGCTTCATAGAAAGAAAATGATGGATCCATGATTAAACTGCAACATGTGATCACATTGAAACTGCAGGTCAACACGTGAGTCAGGAAGTTGAAGCTTCAAATCAATGATGAATCACCAGATCAGGCTCTTAACCTCAACTGGGCAAAGGGATCAAAATCCTCTGAAAAAGCTAGTTTATAATCCAATTGTGGTCATATTTGAGATTTTCCTCCCACCTAATTTTCTATGACACGCTTAGAAAAAAAAAAAAGTATGACTGCACAGTTTGTAATTATGTTTTGTGACTTACACTCCTATATGAGGCCAGTGACTGCTGGATGTCTTTCTAGTAAGCATAACCGATTTTGGTGTATTTTGTTTCTGATCATTTGAATTGTTTGTGGCTGTAAGCTTTTGTTGTTGTAATTCAAAGAAAGAAAAAACAAAAAAACACTTTAAATTGACAATTTTCACTTTCTGATTTGAATTGTAGGCCAAGTTACTGGAATGCCCAGATGGGTTGGTTCTGTCATTTGCTATATCAAGAAAGCGTGAGGACAAAATGGTGCAATTTGTTTGCAGTTCTTTTATGTACTCTATTGAGGAGTTATTAAAATTTGACAGGAGTTGGAAAACATAAGCTTACATGCCTTTCTTACTCCCCCCCAAGAAAACGTATTGGTTAAATTACGTATGTCAGCTTTGGTATGGATAATAAAAGCAATATGTGAAAAAAAAGTCTAACAGACTAAGGCCTTTTTATTTCATAAATGAAATAAATGTAATGAAATAACAATTTATGTAATTTTTTTTATTTATCCAAACACCACAATACTACAAATGGAGGAATTTCACTTAAAAGTACACTTTTAAAAAAGTGAAGAAATGTTTTAAATTATTTGTACAGGAGCAAACGTTATTGATATTATTATTATTATTATTATTATTATTATTATTATTATTATTTTGTTTCAAATAACTAAACTAATTTCTTCTCGCCGTGCCAAAGCAAACATGGAGGGAATTTAAAATAAAAAATAAAAATCCAAAGCATAAAACTTTGACTCCTAAAAGAGGCCAAAACATTGGCACTTTCACGGCAAGTCCTCCTCAACCTTCAGATAAGCACATCCCACTATGCTTTGCGATGGGCTGACAAGTGGATCCAAGATGGCGTAGAAAGTAAGGCTAGGTAAGTGTTGACTTCCCATTTTTAGCTCCTCTACTTGTCTTTTTCGTCGCAAAGCCACCGGCACGAATCCCCTCCACAAATCAGTAGCACGGCGACGAATGTTTTGACTCCGTGCGCCGGCAGGAACGAGATGTCATGTGAATTATACGTGCCTAAACACGGTGGCAGAGGAAAAAAAAAAAAAAAAATTCAGGCCCTAGTCCGTTTTGTTTCGGCGAACCTAGCCAAAGCCAGCTAGCCTTGCTACCACGAACAAGCCAGCCCAGCTATTCTTGCTGGAAGCTCATCAGTTTGCTGCCAAGAAAAGGCCGTGTTTGTTTGTTTTTTTCTTTTGTTTTTTTTTTTTATTATTTATTTTTTGGTGGGGGCCCGCCGTGCTAAACGTTAGCTGCACGTCCTCAGTTTAGGGGCAAAACTGTTAGAGGCGATGCGAGCAGAGAGCGGATTTGTTGAGCACATTTTAAGCGATTTTTTTTTCTGACGCTGCCGTCATCGTTCAGATTTGCAAGCAGCAGCCGAGATAAGTTTTCCAGACAAACAAGAGCTACAACTCTCCTCTGGAAAACCAAACAGCTCCTCGTTGTTGTCCTGTTGTTTGTTTTTTTGTAGTAAATGCATGTTTCCAAAATGTGCACGGGCTCAGTTCTGACGAATTGGCATGTTTAATCTTTATGTATTTATTTTCTACACAGTTGCTAACGGTTGTGTCAGCCTGAATAACTTTGGGCTTGAGCACAATTTTAATAAATCAGCTCGTCAGCTAACTGAGCTGCATGCAGATATACTAGTTTGACTTCATGACATTAGATGAGTGTGATACCCACCTAATGAGGGCCGCCAAACTACTTGTTGTGGTTAAGAAGTGAGGGAAATTTAGCTACATTGGGGTAGCAAGGTTTTTTTTTCCTCCAGATTTTTTAAATATAGTTCTGAGTGAAAATTAACTTAGTATGTTTTAACAATTTTCTATCAACATCATTTGCTCTAATTCGAGCACCTTTGATATGCTTTGGTCTCATTGACACTATTACTGTTAAAATGTCAGCAGGATGTTGCCATAATGATTCCTTGTGTGAGTCGTGTGTTTAAATTAGTTTTATGCTTCCAGTACATTAAAATACACTCGCCAGCATCATGACCTTGACATGCACAATGTATCCATAGGTGCTGGACATGATAGGACGCATTGACTGCATCTGCAATTAAAGACTGTGAAGGTATGAGAGCTTTCTGAAGCTTAAGGACTGGCCCACATGAAGCTGGAAACAAATGCATTTTGGCCTTTTATCCACACAAAAACTTGGTTAAATATTACCAGAAGTTATTATTTTGAAAAACGCAGACTGATTTGGATTTCCAGCACATTGCAGTCTGCGACAAATCTATCAACATGCTTGCTTTGACACAATTCCCAATAGACATTGTCCTGTGTTTTGTTAACTTTATATTCTACTTAAGAGTAGTTCGACCCATCTGTCCACACAAATGAACCCCCTGGCAGCATGTTTAATCCCTATCAGAAAGTCGTGGTTGTTTTGAAGCAACCTGATAGGCTGATGTAGGGTTTAGCTTTGCCCTACACTGCCCCCTAAGGGTTTGGAATATTTAAAACGTCGCTGGAGGGCATACTGGTCTTGTTTATGTGAATGAAAGGTTTTCTGAAACGGTTACCGTGTGTACAATGTATTTTTTTCCAACCAATATTGGAGAGATAATCACACCCAGTTTAACAATAAAATTGGGTATGACATTCAGTTCACCCTATGTTGTTTTTAGACAATAGAACATCAGAAATCTTTATGAGACAATTATTTTGAAGAAGGAATTGTCTGCTATACATACCCAAAGTACAGAAAGACAAATGTTTTAGTTTCCTTTGTTGATGTTTTATTCTGAAAATTTCCAGTTAACTTTTAAAAAACATTTTAGTACAAACACACAGTGAGACAACTGATGGACTACCTCAGCGTCACTACTGCCTGGCGTGGCTTGTTTTCTGGGGGAAACCCTCATTTTTACGCATTTTGCATAATATGTGTAAAAGCAATTTCATCCCAATATACTTGTACTTATTAGTCTATTCATGGAGAACAGAAGCCACCCCTTGGGGTGCAGATTTGGTCAATGTTCAATTTTACCGGCCTTGATCGATGACCAGTTGGCCGGATTCATATATTCATAAACTGGATCTTTTTCTGATCAGTACCTGCATAGTTTGTAGCAGCTAATGCATCACACTGACAGCAGCACTAAAGAAGACTTCAAGTTAGTTACTTTTAGTATCACTGAGATGGTTTAAAATCAAAGGAAACACAAAAAAGCCATCTAAAACAAAACTGCATTTCCTGCTGAGGCGATGTAGGCTGTTCATTCAGACTCCGACAGCAGACAGTCGGACTACTGCAGGTGCTGCTGATTGCATTGTAATTTTGCTGATTGCGTTGTTTTGTCTGTTATGAGTACAAAATACAGCTGTGTCCCAGAAGTCATCAATTGGTAGCTCCATTGGGAACATTTCTGCAAATTGTACATGTAGAGCCGATTTCAGCAGTTAAGAGGAAGCCTCAGTGTTCATCCTTTCATGCCAGATTGGTAGACTTTTGACAATATCAGAATGATTAGGTCTGTATTCCCTTCTGAACACACAGATTGATGTTTACTTTTAGTGATGCTAACTGTAGCAGCTAATGCATCACACTGATGCATTAGCTGCATTTGGTAGTGATGGAAACTCCTAACCCCATAAAGTCATCGGGTTAAATGTCTAAAACTCTGTTTTATAGTGACTATTGCCTTGTAAGGCTTGTAAGGTGCGTCCTGAACTCGGACAAGTCGACTCTTATGAAACACGAGGGATTCCGACCCCGATCAAAACAAAGTAGTTCTGAGCAGCCCCTGCCAAGCAGCTATTATTTATTGCAATCACATAATCGTATTTCACTACAGCAAACTGTAAATTGTGGAAAATTATATTTAAGCACAGGTTTTTAAAATGGAATGAAACGTCGCCGGGGGCGGTTAGAACAGATGCATGACATCTGCAGTTCACACTCCAAAAAACTCGAGTATGAAAAAGATCGCAACCACACAAGATTGAAAGGGTGAAGCAGTGAAATGGCCTACTCCCATTGACACATTATGATGCAATAACCACTTGGGTAAACTGAGTGCATACAAAAATATCTCCTTCCATTTACTCAATCAAGTCTTCTGAACAATGACACACACACACACACACGCGCACACGCACGCACACACACACACACACACACACACACACACACACACACACACACACACTCTCTGAGTGTGATGTGAATAGGATGGAGTTCTGGCTGCGGGCCTTATGCATTTTAAAGAATGACCTGTAACTCTAGCCGGGGGTCGCCTTACGTTAATGTAGGAAACACACAATTGCTGCTGTTATTTAAATAAGTTGGTAAATGAAGTCACTGATGATTGATTCTTCCACAAGTTATGGAAATAAACAGAACCACAAGTTAAGTAGACCATGAACCACTTTGATTTAAGACCTCTGATATCTGGTAAATCCCTTTCATTCATTGACTGACTCTGCTGTGATTGGCAAATGTGTTTCCTTCCTGTTGTCTCTCAAGAGATTTCCCTGTTTCATATTTTTTAAGGGGGAAAAAATCCTTCTTTACCGTCTGTATTCCAGTCATGCTGCTGTCGGTTGAAGCAAAATGAGGGATGACTACATCCTTCGGTATTACTGCGAACCCGCTGAAGTGTTGGTATTCCTTTGAACACAACGCGAGTCGGCATTCAAAGGCGAGGCGTGGATTAATATCACTTTGAGTAATGAATCCTCCTTCACCTTAGCGTTGCTTATTAGTTATTGTAATAGTTGCAGCGAGTCCACTGTTTCTGCAGCAGCAAACAGGAGGAAATGGTTTCTGAAAGTGTCCGCTGAAGTCTCTTTTGCATATCAATATTTTTGGCTTCTCTGTTTCACAGCTATTTTGTGAAACACAACCAAGCGTTCTTGTGAATTTGATGTGCATTTCAAAGTCCAAAACGTGTCTAATTAAAATGAAATCTTCAAGAACTTGTGGACTTTAGCTAGGAGTTTGTTCCTTCACATCTGGAAAAACAACAAAATACTGATCTGAGATGACGTGAAACTGGAAGGTTTTTTTTTTTTTTTTTTGGTGAACTAGAAACAATTAAAGACAATGCAGTATATAAATAAAAGCCCTGTGAATTTTATGGAAACTTAAAAAGACATGACGATACGCCTACTTTTATTTTTTTATTTTACAGATCAATAAACTGTTCTGACTGAGGTATTTGAAAGGTGGCACCGGCTTGTTCAGAAAGTGTTTTTTGATATGCACTTTCAGGAGAAAAGCTGTTCAATTTGTACGCCCTGTGAGCTGCAGGGCCAGTTGTTTAAAGCAGTAAGTTTGCATTGGGGCCGACAGATATTAGGCTACCAGCCAAGGATAAGGTGTTCCCCAGGAGGTCACAGTGTACCCTCCATATTCTGATGCGTAGCAGCTTTATGTAACCCGTTCCCATTCGTACTTTTTCTTTCCTTTTTTTTTGGGCCATTAACGGCTCTTTTTTTATTCTGATACAGTGAATCTCCCCCATTATTTCTCCAATGTTGTTTTTGACATATTTTTACTTTCAGGATGCTTTTGTGCTCCACATCAGCTCAGAACCTGACGAATGATAAAACCACCAGACATAAGAGGGCCTTATAATCTGCCATTTATTGTGTGAAATGTATTTTTGCATCAACTACAGGTTTTATTTATGTTTTTAATAAAATCCCAAACTCTTTGAATGTCTAGCTGTGGCTTTAAGTGAACCGGATCAAAAAGTGCAACGTTAACCTCTAGCATGTGCTTGCTTTGCTAGGTTCTTCCCTTGCTTAACTCTTGTTTGTTATTGTTCTCAGTTTTTCCTGTTTGTCTGACCGATCACTTCTTGCAGGGATTCAACCGGCGAGAGATCTCAAAGTTGCTAATAGAATCAACGGCTGCGGCTTTCTTCCTAAAACTATCAAATAGTTGTGACTTACAACTGGTTTAGTCAGACTCGGTCATTTGTCGCAGCTTGTTTCAGTTTTTTAATTGTGGAAGTTCAGGTCCAAAATGCCAGCCATTCACCTACTGTCGCCACATTCCCATTTTTTTCTAAAATACCATAACAGACGCCGCCGTTCGACTTCTCCGACCTAACCTCGCGTCTCCAGAGAGACGGTGTCTTCATCGTGAGCTGCACCCAGAGATGATTGTTTTTGTTTTGCTCTTGTGGAAATCTGTTGCAATCTGTGGAAAAGGAGCATGTGCGTTACTGTGGGAGCCGCGATGAACAAGCTTTATTATAAAGTCTTTTGAGATTTTACTGCAGGACACAATTTTTCACTGAACCATACCGTTTGCCTTGTACACCAAATTCCTCTCTGTGGCTTCGACTTCGTTTCTCGTTGAGCTTTCCGTTTTTATGCAGCAGAGCGATTGCAACATTCTAGTTTGGTCTAATGAATCACCATCAACTCATCATTTCAGCCCTTGATGTAACCAGCTACTTGCGCCAACAACAAAGCCAAAAAATAACAAAACGGTTCAAATCTTTTCCGGTTTGTGTTTGGGCTGAAAGCCTGTCCTTTTGGATATTGATGAGACAAAACGCAGGTTGGAAGTGAAGCACCGATTCCAAAATGCTTAGCAGGAGAAGAGGCATCTGACGGTTATCATTTGGCAATCTTTTTTTTTCAATCTCCAACTGTGCAACAATTAAAAACAAAGTAAAGTTTAAGATTCTGTTTGAAGTTTTTTTTTTCAATTAACAGTTTTTCTGCTATTTCTATGTAAAGCCAAGAGCCACATGCATGGTGTCTTTTTTTCATAAGTTTTCATAATTTTTATTTATTCTCTAGTAGGGCTGAAATGATTAATTGGATTAATCGTAATTAATCAGTTTTTTCCTAATGGATTAATCACGATTAATCATCTCAGTAAATTGGGATGTTGCCAAGAGATGAAAATGTATTTCTGTAGATCAGTTTAAAAGTTAAATTCATATCTCATTTAGATTCATTACATACAGAGTCCTCCATTTCAGAATTTATTTTTTAATTGAAATTGATTATTTCAATAATAATTATTATTTAAATTGATTAATCTGATTTATCAGTTACAGAAATAATCGTCAGCTAATGTAGCAATCGATTAATTGCTAACTGGATTAATTGAATACTGAACCGATTGATCTGCTGGAGTACAGATTTTAAAAAAGGCATTTGCTGAAAGAACATTTATCAGTAACTAAGCCAAAAATGCACAAAGTGTGTATTTTTGCACATATATGTATATGTGTACACACACCTACATTTTTGCATTTCAGATAAAAAAAATTGTACTTCTCAAGTAGACTAGTTTTACATTCACCAGGTTAAAAACAACCCTCCTGTAAAGCACCTTTTCATATCTAATTAATCAGCTAATCCAAATAATAATGAACAGATTAGCCCTACACTGTATTTGTAACATCTTTTGCTATAAATGATCAATTTTACACTAAACGAATGAACTGATATTGCATTTTAGGCAATGAAATCTTTATTTTCATATTCAAAAAAGGAATTGAATCTGTAATGTGCCAATCTATCCGATTAATCAGCAGAATAATTGATTACTAAACAATCGTTAGTCACAGCCCTAGTTTTTAGTTATGAGCTGAGTTTGAAGCCATGGTGTTTAACGGTGTGTTTGTTACTTTTTGACACCCTTTATTCTCTCAGTTTGCTGTGTCACCAGTTAAAATCCTCACCGCTGCCGAGCAATGAAACCAACAGTGAAATCTGAAACCTCACTAAGGAGCTGGAGTTCGAACTGGAAGCTGCTGACAGCAAACCGACAACATGGTAGCTGCCGCTGTGCTCGCTGAGAAGGAGGAGGTTACTCGTCTCAGCTGCATCTTGTTCTTATTTTTGACAGTAAACCAGGTGTGGGTTCTTTTAGGAGTGTGGGCGGGTGCCTGGTCCTGGTGCAAAATGAACAAAGCATCTCCATGTGGCGCAGCCTCCTCTCCTTTGAGCAGCTCTGCTTTTGGGCTGCCTCTGTAAACTTCAGGATGAACCTCATTGAACCTCCACGGATGTGTCTCTAGCTTCCCCTTCAGGCTGCGGGATCTTGATTTCCATATTAAGTGTTTTTTTTTGCGTGGCGGCAATTCAAAAGGCTTCGAATTACAATCCACTCAAACTAAGGCTCCGGTCATCACTGTGATGGATCTACGGTATTTTTGTTCACACCTTTTCCTTCCACTGAACTTTCTATTATGTTTGAATACTGCACTCTGTTACAAACTTCACTGGCACTGACTGACCTTTACAAATATTGAAATAGATGAACATTTTTGGTGAAATTTTGTTTTTTTAAACTTATTGCAATGCATCTTATAAAAATTACTCCTCCTTGCATTGCTCTTTAGCTGCTTATAATTTTTTTTTTTGTCAAAGTTTTCAGTTTTTCCCAGCTCCCCCCTTTTTTGTGAAAAACTTTCTCTTTTTCTCTTTCGGCCAACATGAGGAAAAGAAACAACCCTGTTTCAGGATTCATAAAAGTACCATCGGGATCGATGTGGAGTATGAATAACACTGATTAAATGAAAGTACTTTCAAGGTCAAAGTGAAAACTTAGAAAAAAATGGACTGGAAAATACTTTTCCATTGTGCACTGACGGCAGTTTTCTGGCTGATTGCCGCTCTTTAAAAATATCAGATTTTTGGTAACTTGGCTGATAACAAATTTCTTAATTTTTTTTCTAAAAACCTACTAAATTGACTGTTGTATGCAGATGCAGTACTGATATCCAATCTCCTAAAATTGAGAAAATCGGGGCCGGATCATTGGCCAATGGGTTCATCGGTGTTCCCCTTTCTGCTGTTTGATCTCAGTTCATAGCGCCGATAAACTTTGGAAATGGTGACTGTGTTCGTCTTTGTCCATCTGCAGATGTTCTGTCCCTGAGTCATGGCAGACAGGAGAGCGGAGAAGTCATGTGAAGAAGCCAGCAAATCGTTAGCCAGGCGGGAGTACGAGGCGGCGGTCACCCACAGCACGGACGCCCTGGTGGTCCTCACACCCCAAGCCTTGTTACCCGGTGCCCCCGTACTGCCCAGCCCTCCCTCGGCGGTCGCCGCCGGACCCCTCCGCAGCCGCGCCCTGCTCTACCGAATTGCTGCCTTCCTACAGCTGGTGAGCAATGGGTTGTTGGTTGATCTTCTTTTTTTAAAATTATTATTATTTTAACTGACAGAAAATGTAGAAATAACTTTGATCAATACATTGAGAGTCTAGTCATTTGCTTGTGCCCTGAAGTCATGGAAACTTTCCCGTATCCATAATTGCAGCCTAAATGACTCTGTGATCGTATAAAAACTCGTTTCCAACTGTAACGTCTGGACTTGCATTTCTCTTTCCACCGACAGAAAAACTACGACGGAGCAGATGAAGACTGCAAACATGGTGGGTTGGACTTCTAACTGTGAAATTACTCTTTGGTGCAGTTTGAAGATGCGGATTCAGATATTTGTTTTAATGCCGCAAACAAACCAGAAATTCTTTTGTTTTTTTATTGCTAGAGTTTTATGTTCTTCCTTGAGGTTTTTGTTTCTCAGTTTGATCTGGGATTTCTCAGCAGCTGCTTTGCAAACACTCTGGTGTAAGATGACTGGTTTCTCTTTTGTTTTCTGTGGTGGGGGAGATATTTGAAGACCACTATTTGAAAATTGGCTCAAATTATATTGTAAATTATTCTTAGCTGTTATATGCCAGTTTAAAGCACATTAGAGGTAAATAGAAAAGAATCTTGACAACAGGGAACACATTTTGATAAGAAACAATCGATGACAAGTGCATTGACAGAACATAACGCAAAACTATAATGAACATTTATTTTTTTCTGACAATAACGAGGACATAAATTGGTTCCTCCAGGATGTTGCAATGTTTTTTTTTTAGTTGTTACCAACTAAAATGTCAGATTTAAAAAAAAATAAAAATTTGGCACCCTTTTCAAAAATTTCCAGTCAAACATTCAAAATTGTATTTTGTCTTACAACGAGTTGAAATTCCTGAAGATAACATGACAGGATTTGAACATGGTCAATATTTAAAGTGCAAATAAAAGTTTTAAAAGCCTTCCGGAATTAGCAACATTAATACAAATAAAGATTATGTCTTAAGAAGGGGCCAAAGTGCAAAACAAGGATTCTGTATTGGTCATTCAAGTCAATTTGAATTTTTAACAGTGCCGGTTTTTCACATGGAAGATATGGGCAGTTACTGAGGGCAACATCAAAGGATGTGTCGTCCAAGAATGAAAAAGTAGGACAAATTATAGAGATACAATTGGATGCATTTTAAATGGTTGTGGGGTGGGATAAAGAAAGGCTCCATTCATGTTAGAACCAGCATAAGCAAATCCTACGAAACATTTTAGAATGGTTTTCACACCCCCAAAAAAGACAGAAAGTGAAACAGGAAGTTAAATTAGAAGGAGTTTGGTGAAAATTCAGCCGAGTTGCAGTGATTGATCAGGCCTATATTGTAAGCGAAATGCAGAAAACGGGAAGGTGACTGGTCACATTTGCATAAAAGTTGCAAATGAAGATTCAAAGCATGTTTCAGTGCAAAATTTGTGAATGATGAGTGAATTTACATTAATGGTTGCAATCGTGACATTTCAACTTCTTGGAAGGGCCGGTGAAGTAGGACGGTTACCAGGCTGAATGACATTTGAAACCACTACCTGCTCCATCGTTGCTCTTTCTTTCCAACACAGCCTGGTTGGCGGGGCTTTAACCCGTTTCCTTTCACTCCGTTGCAGTTCTGGTAGATGAGGTTGCTCGGGGGGACGGCTCTCTACAGGCGAGTTTGCGCTCCATGCTTTTGGATGGCAGCCTGCAAGAGGTGGTCAGCATCCTATCTAAAGCCCTGTATGGAGAGCCAGTGGTAAGATGGATTTGATCTAGTTGTAAAGGTGGAATTGTTCATGCTCTGTACATGCTGATCTGTTCATCAGTTTAGGAGGGATTTTCAGGCCTCCTTTCATTTTAATATCCATCTTAATAAGTTTATAAGTTCTGGTTTAAAAATTATTTTAAACCAGAAGTTTAGCTGTCAAAGCAGCAATATTGCATCTTAAAAAACCAAAACTTTAAAGTGTTGGTCCATCATTTATGGGAGAAAGGTAACTTTTTATATTCAGAAAAAAATATTTTCCACCATTCCACAGTCTATATCAAAATAGATGACAAATCATTCCCAATTAATCAATAGAATGAATATATTGCGTCCTTTAAATTTTATTAAAAATACGAAAGTAAATAAATAAGAAAATGGCATCAAAGTACTGGCTGTTGGTTGATGTGTTTATAAACCCAAAGTAGGTTTGGAGTCATTTAATACATTCTTATTTTATTTGCACATAGTCAGTTGGTTGCTATTTTATTTCATATTGTTAAGGCAGGCCTGAACTCATCAGAAATACAGACCAGTAAATTTATGTTTTATTTTTGAATATGTGTTTTAAATCCAAACATTTAGTCTGATATATAGTGAAATTTTGAAATGTAAAATGGTTAGAAACTGTGTAATATGCCATCAAAGATGATTTAATGTTTGGTATCTATTATGTTAAACAAACCTACATGCAAGAAATCCATTTATGTTTTAGTGAATGTAATATTTTTCTTTTCGGTCCAGAATGGCATCGTTACAAAAGACCTGACCAGATTAAAAATGCTCTTCTCCGAAATTGAGGTAATTGCATTTGTTTTTTTGGTCGTGGACGTTTAGTGTAATAGAGTTGAAAATGAATGTTTTGCTCCGTTTCATTTAGGCAATAAAAAGAGAGATGGCCCCTGAATACACAGATGACCAGGATGAAGGTGAGCACATCTGCATCATGAGTTGATTTCAAGATTTTGCTTTGTTGTACCAACAGCTGCTGTACATTTTCTTTCTGTTTGGTGTCTTTTCTGCAGTCAGTCAGTTGTCACTTTGAGTCTATTTCTACCAGGTTATTGTCCAGTGAATTGTCTGCTCATTATGCTCTCAGAGCTTTAGTGTTTATGTAGCTTTTATATCGGCAGAAGTCCAAGATGGCTGGCAGTTCCGGCCTCCTCCCAGAGGGGTCACTAGCAGCGAGGAGTACACTCTCTGCAAAAGGTAATAAGTAGATGTCTTCTCTTTTATTATTTCAAATAAATGTATGTTTCAGTTGTGAGCAGTGAATGAAAAAGTTTCCTGTTTATTTTTCTCCAAATATCAAATGTTTTTTTTTTTTTTTGCATTTTTTTTGTAGGGGGTTATTTTCTTTTTGTATTTAGCATTTAATGCATGCCATCTTAAAATTTCAATAAACAATTAACACATAAGCTATAGAACGACAAAAACATATCCATATATCTTTTTAGGAATAAAAAGCATAGCTCTTTATTATGTATTTATTGGCCATTCTGGACCTTTATTATGTTAGGAGTATGAAATATGATGCTCTGAACAGGAAATGAGCAAAAATAGACCACATTTCAGTCATGAGTACGACAGGTTTTATAAAATCATTGTGCCATTTCCACATAACACACATGTCAATTGTATTTTAGTTTTTGGCTGGTTTAAATGTTTATTAAGATAATGGCATTGTCTATCAGGTATAAGGTGCTTTAAACAATAAAGAACAATAAATGTTTTTTTTTTTGTTTTTTTGTAACAATAATCAAACAAGATAAAATAAAACAAAACGAATGCCTTTTAAACTTGTTTTATTTTTGTCATGGATTTAAAAACAAATAGAAAAAAAACAAAATGAATGTTTTCAACGATTTTTATTTTTTTAAATGAATAAAACATAAAAATATTGATTAAAAATGAAAGCAAACTGAATGCTTGAAATATAACATACACTCCCGTAGTGTTCATCAACTGGATTTTTGATACAGATTCTAGTTGAAATATTTATAATAGTTTTTTTTTTCGTTTGGAGGAAAACTTGTCAGCCAGACAATCTGTCAAATATTTTACCTGCAGCTTGAAAAACAAACTCATGCAACTTTTTCTGTCAGATCATTTACAGGCCCCCACTTTTTATGAATGATGCATTCATCTACATCCAAAATTTCTAAATATCCCAACTTTGCAAATAAGTGATTTGACACGATCAGCCAGATTACTCCAGAATCGTCTGATGGAGCTGCTTAATGTCGCCGTAGGTACTTGGAGCAAGGCCTGTGTCGGTACGGGGCGCAGTGTACGTCGGCCCACTCGCAAGAGGAGCTGATGGAGTGGCAGAAACGTTACGCCTCCCGACTCATTCGCCTCAAACAGCAGCAGGAAAGCAAACACTTCACTGAGAACTACATGGAAACTCTAATCGAAAAGTGGATGAACTCTCTTTCCCCGGAGAAAGTGGTGAGTGAGATAAAAGTTAACATGGCTGAACGCCTCCGGTGTTTCGGAAGTGAAGTTTCTTCTTCACTGGAACTTTGAATTTGTTTTTCAGCTTGTGAAATTGTGAAAATACCAGGGTAGCAACCGAAAGCATTTTTTTCTCACCATGAGAGAAATACGTACATTATTTAGGGTGGATATTATTGTATGTAAACTGCAGATTCTTTTGAGTTTTCTAAAAGACTATCAACATTTTCAAATCCAGTGTGTTATAGAGAACAGAGGGCAATAAAACAGAGAAGCTTTGCTGTATTTCATCAACTCTGTTACCTAATGAAAGCTGTGCTTACTCTTTTTTTTTTTTTTTTGACTTTACTGATACTGAAAGTTGCTGTCATTACACCATCTCTCTTCAGTAACAGTGTCCACACTGAAGAGTGCAGCTCTCAGTTTGACTTCTTAATGTTAAAAATGGTGTTGCTTTCAGTATTTGGAAAAAGACTGGTCAGCAGTCTGTGACAGTCAAATAGAAAGTGAACCCAGCAGTTTTTTTTATTTTTTATTTTTTTATCAGTTTATCATCATGTTTTCATAAGACCTCAAACTTTTCCCAAGATTTAAGTTCAGTATTGAAGGGGGAAAAAATGACCTCTAAATTTGTCTTCACATGGTTTGTGAACTGATTCCAATAAATGGACTCAACATTTTTGTCAAGCATTAATGGAGAGGATCTTTAGTACAACTTCTGGAGAATTTCTATTTATTTAATTGTATTTTAAAAAGCCTTTTTCTTGAAACTGAGTTATCTTTAATTAAAACGTACATATAATTTTTAACCTGTTTCTTTCTAGTTAAGTGACAGTCTTGAAGGCGTGGCAGTTGAGACCAGCTCCGGCCTTTCTGTTACAGTCACCTCCAAAAAGTCCTCCCACTCCTGGATCTTTTCTTTGCTGTGCAAGGTAGGGTGACACTGTCACTGGTTTTATTAATATGGCTTTTTAAAATTTGTATGAAAAGTGAGTTTCCTTTTTTCTTAATTTTAATCATGCTCCATTGTTGTTTCTGGACTAGCCGGCTCGAAAGCTGTTCCGCATTGCCTTACTCTACGACGCCCATCGACCACACTTCTTCATCACCGGAGTTTCAGCCGGCGATCGCCTGCAGTCGGTTCCCAAAGGATGCCAAGAGTGGACGCCCGGAGACGATTCGGCGGGTTCGTTTGTTCTTTCACCATAATCGGGACTGTGCTTCTAGAATTTTAGTCTAATGATGAAATGTAAACAACAAGCGTTTTTTTTTTTGTCTGAGAACTCGCCTATGTTGCACCTAAAAAGAAAGGTACGTGGCATAACATAAACTATTTATACTTTTTTCTTTACAAACAAATAGACACCTTCATCCTTCATGTTGTTAGACCAGGCGTCAGTGACCTTCTCAGCCCAGAGGGCCATTTGTTTGTTTCTGTCCTGCTAAATATCAATAGTTTAGAGCCACAAAACTTAAAAAAAAAAACGCTTTGAAAATAACAAGTTAATTGATTTTACAAAGACCGACCTAAAAACTGCGTTTGCTTAACAGTTAAATCAAAGAATCAAATGTAAACTAGGTTTTAGAAAAAACAAGAAATGTTTTCCAATAAGTCAGAAATATTTTGTTAATCCCCAAGTTTATGGAAAATTATGAATACCATGTTGTTTGTGACTTAATGACAAATAAGTAAAAAAATTTTGTCATTTTTTTACATTTAAAAATATGCATGTCAGCTAATGCATTAGCTGATATGCTAACACGGTGTGTACGTGTGAGCATACAGTCTTGCACTTTGACAATCTCCCTTTTTTTGCCATTAACCTCCTCTTCTTCCTCACTTGAAAAAGCAGAAACTTCACTTTTTCTTCCTTGCTTCTCAGGAAATGAGAACTGACCCTCTGTTGGTGTATTAACCGGTTATTACAGACTTTCTGATTCATTGACAGTTTTGTGAAAATATACTGATATTTCAAGTGATGGTGTCCCACGGCTGGCACGGCGCAAATCAGTGTCATAGTTACAGTGATCAGCGTCCTAAATGGGTTTTAAAGGAAATTCTCATGCAACTCTTGGTTAATAGCAGAACAGAAAAGCTCTTATATCCATTTGCGCATAAAGTATTTTCGATTTTATGATCTTAATATGCCAAATCTGTTTTTGTATTTTTAATGAACATTTACATGACAGGCAGCTTTTTTTTTTCTTTTGTATACAAATGTGATGAACTGTTGCTATTTAGTGTGACATCTTTTATTCCTCTCTGACTGAAGTTCAGTCAGATCAGACTTCTCTTGTGATGGGTCTGTTTGAATTTCCAAAACTGTTTCTATTTGCTAAATGTCATGACAAGGAGAGAAATTAGAGCTTTATATGTTAATGTCTTCACAATTGGGAGTTCACATACGGACGGTTATTGTCTCTTTAACCAATGAGTGACAGCACTAATAGTGATTATGTCATGACTTTGGAAACCTCTGATAGGTTTGACCCAAGTACTAGAGTTCATACGCAGTTCTACAAAATATGGAGGAAATGTGTGTAAACTTCTCATTTTGAAGACGTCGTGTCATTTAGACCGGCGGAGGCTCTGCGATCAGGAAGGAGGCAAGGTAACAAAATGTAGTCGAGGTAGATTTATTTGAAGCTGCAGGTCACATTTGAACCGACACCCATTTCCACAGCGAGACATGCAAGCTGGCTTTTATACTTTGGACAACTCCAACCCTCATACCAGGTAAAGGGGTGGCAAAAAATAAACAAAACAAGAAATAATTTACACAAACCTGACACAAAACAATAAATGGTACCAATAAATATTTACATGCATGCAAATCATTAGGACTAAACTAATCTAAGGTCAATCAAAGATTAAATTTAACTTAATATAACTCCTTAGAGCATTACTCCTCTTAATTGGAAATGATGTGGTCCAGGAGCTTTAAAGCACCACCTGGAGCACTTGTCTCCCTTTGCTGCTCCGCCCTGCACAAATTGAAGACAAATTGGAACAAACGGACATTTCCCCACATTCCCCCTGTCCAGGAAGGACGACCAGTCCCTGTGCCTGAAAGAATGTTTAACTAAATGTCACAATGTAACCGAAATAAAGAACTGAAACAAAAAGCATTTGATCTGTAAATAAACTAAACAAAATAATATCAGTAATCATTCATTAGGGATGGACCTCCAGCTCTCCATCACACATTGATAATAAAGCTGTACTTGTATTATTTTTACATTTAGCAAATAGGAATACTTTTGGTTAATTCTGATTGACATAAAACAAGAGATGTTTGGTGCGATTTAATTTCAGGATCGAGCTAAAAGAAGCTCTTTGTAAACCTCTATTTTCACAGCCTGTGTTCTCTGATGACCGTTTCCTTCTTTAACAGACTGAGTTTAAACCCACTTAGAAAAACCTGTGTTTTTGCCAGCAGCAGCCGACAACGGCCTCGACCACTGTGTCTACAAAGTGGCGGTGGGCTTCAGCACCGAGATCTTTGGCACCTTCAGACAGACCATCGTGTTCGACTTCGGCTCCGAGCCGGTGCTGATGCAGAGGATCATGGTGGACGCCGCCTCGATCGAAGGTACGATCACGGCGGCAAGATCACCCACAGACACCCCAAAAAGAGCTGGTCTTGATTCGGCTCATTTCGCCTGTCTGTTGTTTGTCTTTCTTCAGACTTGGAGCACCTATTGGCAGCCAGGCAGCAGCTGCTGATAACCGCCAAGCGCTGGGACTCGTCCTGCAAAACCATCGTGGAATTCACGCCCAACGAGACGGTGGCCAACCTGGAGAGGAGCCTGCTGGCCCGCTACCAGATCCCTCTGTCGGCCGACCAGCTCTTCACCCAGTCCGTCCTGGACAAGACGCTGACCAAAGACAACTACCAGGCCCGGCTGCACGACCTGCTCTACATAGAGGAGATCGCTCAGTACAAGGAAGTCAGCAAGTGAGTTTGGCTTATAGAACTCTGTCTTTGTTCCTGTGCAGCAGCAATTCAACCTCTTGCGTGATGAAATGCCAAACCGCCAGCAGGTGTCAGGTTTGACCCTCATAAATTTGCAGCTTGTTAATGTCTCAGCAGCTTCTTACAAAACAGTTTGATTTGACTGGTTGGTTCATTTTAACTCTGTATAGGTTTATTCATTTTTAATATTTTTAACTTGGCTCATAGTAACCGGTTTAATCATTCAGGACAATAAGAGCTGAAATATGATCATCTGAAAAGGGGATTTATTTAATATTCTGTTCTGTATTTATATCATCTGTATTTTCATTGCTTTTGAAGAATTTTTACAAAAAGAGACTTCCTTTAGATCTGGATGTTTTATTCTGTCGGTCGCTTTTTCAAACTTACATAAAAATAATATATATTTATGATTTTATGGGGGAACTTTTCTGCCATAATTCAAGACCACACACTTTATAGAAAACGATTCCACTGTTTACTCTCCTTTGTGTTTGTTTGCAGATGGGTTCTCCTCAAAATAGACATAAAGGTTAACCTCATAAAACTAATGGCACTCATTGTCATCCACCAGGTTCAACATCAAGGCCAACCTGCAGCTGGTAACCAGCTTCATGCTAACTGGGATTTCTGTTGGAGCCAAGTATGCTCAGAACGGACAGCTCTTTGCACGCTTCAAACTCACTGAAACACTTTCCGAGGTAAACACAGCTTGTTTTGGTGATTAAATGTGTTTTTTTCACCTTGAAGATAGCAAATGTAGCTTTCTTAAAAATATATGTCACCTGCATCTGCTCACTGCCTATCCCAAACTGCATATATATATATTTTTTTCCCTTTTGTCAGGACACTCTGGCTGGGAGACTAGTAATGACCAAGGTGAATTCAGTTCTGCTGCTGCCATTGGGGCGGGAAGGGTTCGGCGGTCACGGTCCTTCTGGGGTCAAAGAGCGCGTTTATGAGGCTGTGATAGAGGAGAAGACCAAGGATTACATCTTTCTGAGGATTTGCAAGAGCTGCTGTGAGGAGCTGATGCTGCAGCCAGACAGAGAAATACAAGTAAGAGTTTAAAAATGACAGTTTATTACAGGCTGATGCTTTTTAGCCAGTTTTAGTTTGATGGCATTTTGTGGTGAAGCACTTCCATTTTTTTCCTCTATTTTGTACTATAGTTTTGTTAAAATATCAAATAAAGTGTTTTTCAGGTCAAAATAAAAAATGGAATGGAAAAAGCTTTTCTAGTCGAGCTTCTCCAACTTACCTGACACACAAAGTACTTATTGCATCGCACTGAATTATTGGAGGTTTGATTGCTTGAACTTATTTGTGGCGTCTTGGCAATAAACCCTCACACTCCTCTGTGTGTGTCAGGTGGAACTCCAGTTTCAGCTCAACAGACAGCCACTGTGTGAGATGCACTACGCCCTGGATCGCATCAAAGACAACACCATCCTTTTCCCTGACATTGGCCTTGTCCCCACAATCCCGTGGAGCCCAAACAGGTACGTATCCAACATGTGGACAGTCACACATGCGTGGAGAAATCCCAACTCTTTAAACACTTTCTAAATATCTTCTTTTTTCTTTGTGCTTTCTCTGAATTATTTAATTGAGCTTGAATGGTCTTACCTCAGTTGCCTCTTCCTCACCAAAGAGGGTGGTCAGTGCAAAGCTGTTAGCACATAGATATGAAAAATGTGGATTTTTAATTACTACCCTTTCCAAGACCATAGCTTCTTTTTGCCAGGAGTTTGCAACCTTCATAAGCCTAAAAAAAATAGCAAAAAAAAATAAAATAAAATTTTTAGAGCCACTAATGTTGCATGACCCTTTGGAAAATTAGATCTGTGAAGTATCTGCTAAAGGATGTTTGTTAGTTTTTAAAGAAATTTGTTTATTTCTAAACTTTAAAACAAGAAAATGATAAAACTTTTGAAAAAGGGGATACATTTTCTTCTCTTAGATGTTGATATTTGTAGAAAGTTGTGTTTAAAAATAGTACATAGTTTCCAACCTAATAGCAAGGTAAAATGTTTCTTTTTTTGATCAAATAATAAAATCAGCATTTGCTCAAAGCGCAAAGAGCTACTGCTGTAATCAGACACTCCTATTACACCCTGTGTTTTTACCTCCCTTTCTCTATTTGCTGTACATTCAGTTGCTCCTCTGCAGTTTATTAATTAAGCTCATTAAGTATTTCCTTGTGTCAAAAAATATGAAATGTTAAAAAAAACTGGGTAATGCTCACTACTACAGCTTTCATGCTCTATGTTAAAGCATTCTTGCTGATGCCAAGAGAATATTGAATCTACATGTCAACATGCAAAGCTGATTGGTTCAGCAATGAAGCTGAGTAATATTTTACGTTCAAATTCAGCTGACAGGAGGATTCCGGTTGTATTTAAAAGGCAACATCTGCCATTTATGCTATCATAAACGGCAGGAAAGAACAATTTGCACTCAGAAAATGTCTATTTTTATCTCGGTAAATGAACCCAATCATAAAAAGAGCTTATTATAAAGAAACTCTGGTAATACCACCACGTCATTTACGTTTTGACAAATACTTCCACTGAGGGGACGTCACCTCAATTTGAGAGATAAGAGCACATCCGTCACCTTGCCGACTCGCTGGCCATACGGAAAAGCTTTCCGCTCCTTCTACGGTTTTTCTTCTTCTGATGTCAGACAGGTGAGGGGAAAAGACACGGTAATCTTTATTGACAAGAGACAAAGTCAAATATAATCCTTGTGAGTTTTTCTTGGCAGCAGCCTTTCTTCTCAGGACTCTAGAACAGGATTTATGTCAGAGTTAGAAATGAAATTCTGATTAAAGCAAGGAAGAGTGAACTTGATTTGAAGGAGCTTCGGTTGAATACAAGCAGTTTGTGTAATCGTTTGCACGTATCTGGGTTGTTCGCCCTTCAAAATGACAAAATAAATCAATAACATTTAATAATAATTTGTGCTCTGAAAAATCTCATCTTTTTATAATGCTATACCCAAGAATCTTTGGATAATTTGGACTTTAGCACAGTTCATCATAGAGCATCTCCTCAATCACAATAATAAAGAAGTTAAATTAAGAATGCTTAAAATGAATGTTTTGTCTATTCATCATGTTTTTTCTAGTCCTTGTAACGTGGAAGATCGTGTTGATTCCACCACAGATCTGAGAATATTTCACTAAATGTAGACAAAGATTTTACACTACAGACTTGGTTTTGTCAGCTGCGGTTCGATTTGATTTATTTATTTTTTTCCTTAAAGCCTGAAAGGTTTTTGTTGTCTATAAATAATTCACCTCCCTGAGAAATAGTTTTTTTTGTTTTTTTTTCATGATCAGAGTTCTGAAACACTCCTAAAAGTTTACAAAGCTAAATTATTCCTGTGTATTTGTGTTGCTCCAATCACAGCAATTTTATTTTGTTTGTATGAAAACAGAAATTCACAGCAGGATGTGTGAATCCTGCTGTGGAACTGCAAGAAGGTTCTGGTTGATTATGTAGACCAATCAGCTATGCAAGATAAAATTTTTCTTTGTCATCTTGGAAAATTCCAATACCAACAGGAAAGTGAAAAAATCCCCTTTAACCTGGTTGTTTTTGATGCATGCCAATGATTTGACCCTTCTAAAACAGGCTATTGTGCTGTTCCTAATTTTTTCTGTAGTTCAATGTAATCCTTTGATTCAAAGGTGTATCACTGAAATACATGCACATAACTTAACATGTGCATGTATACCACCATGTCTACATTTGCATATTTGCATTCCTTTGTTGCCTAATGTCGCTAAAATGCATCAAACCTGAGTTAGAAAAATTCTTTTGAATTTTAGAATAATTTAGTCTATTGCAACGAATCACTTATTGAAGAGTTTAGTAGGCCTATATACATGAAATTTCAATCTATCACAAAGTTAAGATTTGAGTTTATCAGATCATCTCACTTCCATTTTCATAATCTGCATGTAGTTCACACTCTGACCACTAGATGGAATCAAAGCACTTTTAATAGCATCCATAGTCTTGGAGGCATATGTATCACCCTACATTTGTGGTATTCATGCATCTGCTTGGCTGTAGTATTTATGAAACCTGTGACTTCAGCCAAGTAGTCACAAATATCACTTGTTTATAAGAGGTTTTAGTTTTGGCAACAATTTTCTGCTATTACTGGAAGTAATAAAGGGTTAGAACAACACAGAAGGACTCAATTTTAAGTCTGATTGAGAATATGTGGAGGAAGCTAAAGGTTAGTGTGTTGCCAAGAGGAGCTTCTAACCTGAAAGACTTGAATCTTATCACCGCATAAAAACATGTAAAAAGGAATTCAGGAATTGCAAGAAGGTTCTGGTTGATTATGTGGGTGGGATATACATTTTTGTCATGCCATTTTTACATTTTTTTTAATTTAAAGGCCTTTATTTGATGGTCAATTGACAGAAAATTGGGTCATGAGAGAACGGGTAGCACGTACGGCAAAGGTCACCGCCGGAAATCGAACCTGTGACAGGCGCGTCGAGGACTAAGGCCTCCCTTATGTGTGTTGTGCTAAACCCCTGCACCACGCACACCAGGACATTTTAATTATGATATAACCGTATTACAATTTTACTGCAAAATTAGTTCTTTTCATTTCAGAAGAGAATTGATCGAACCCATACTAAATAAGTTGTTTATGTTAATGAAGGTTAGGCCTTTTTCCACTCCAAACATAATACCTTGATCTTATATAAGCACACATACACACACAGAGACCCTCATTTATGTCTCGGTTGGAGTTCAATCAATTGATGTCGGTGGATTCACAGCTTCAGAGGATGCAGCCTTTATAATGAGGACACTAATGTGTAGAGACAAACACACACTCTACAGCCACAGCGACTCCCATCACTCACAAGACTGTCTGCTGTCGCACGCACAGCTGTTTCGGACACATGTACACACACACCTCTATTTATCTGTCAATGCGTGGTGCTTCTCTTCAGTCTTTTTCCACCGCCTCTTTTTTGTTTGATGTGAAGATAATAATGATTGCAGATTTATCAGCCGCTAATTAGTGTGGGATGTTTGACTACTGACACATAAATCTGAAACTGGCTTTATTCTGGTATAAGTTGATCAGTGGATCGAACGCAGCTCCATTTTCGACTTAATTGAAATGTCAGACATGTCCGTTCGTCGGTGCATAATGTAGAAACAGAACAATAATATGTTTTCCTTTGGTCAAAGGTGAATAAGGTTTGCCTTGTGAGTTTAAAGTTGCCCTTCGTTGCAATTTGTTTGAATATTGGAGGACAGTTTGAGACAAAATGTTAAAATAAGTTTCTGCTTGTCTCGTTTCAGGCAGTGGGACGAACAGCTGGACCCCCGTCTGAACGCCAAGCAGAAAGAGGCCATCCTGGCCATCACCACACCCGTCTCCGTCTCTCTTCCCCCAATCCTCATCATTGGGCCCTATGGTACCGGCAAGACCTTCACCCTGGCACAGGCTGTCAAACACATTCTTCGCCAGGACAACAGCAGGTACAGATCTCGCCTCTTTTCTTTTTGGCTTGCTTAGGGATCCCTTCACTTATATGTGAAACTTTTGACCAGTGTTGATATTTCACAGGAAAACCTAGATTTTCATGCATTATTAATTAGCAAATCCCACCGAGACGCTGTTCAGTCTGTGGAAAGAGCATCAAGATGTTGCCGAACAAGATGGGAGGGTCTGTGCACTCCACAATTCTAGCTAGAAAGATTTATATTCAGAAATATTCTATTCAGTCTCACTGAGCTTGTTTTTTTTTATTTTTATAAAGAATAGATCAAAACCTCAGTGTCTAAAAGGATAACCCTGCTGGTACTGCAAGGAAACATATTACCAAATTATTAGAAGGGGTTTCAAAAGTTTTTTCTGTATAACCGGGCTTTCCAACAGTTGGAGCATCAGGGACTTGGCACACGAATGTGTCAAATTGTAAGGGAGGTTAATTAAGAAATGAGATTTGGCGTCGTTCACTCAGCTGTATGTATATGTGTCTCGAAGGTCCTGTTTGTGCTGAGTGATTAGCTTTGTTTTCCATTGTTGTGTGTTTTGTCACTATAAAGAAAAGCACACTGGTCATTTGGCCGAATATGTGTCATTTGTCCTCGATGCACATGGTTGGCTTTTATTACGGTCCGCTCCCTGGCCTTGAATGGAAGTCAATGTGCAGCGTGAGCCAGTCAGTGAAGTTACGCCACGTCTGCAGGCCCCACAGTGATGTACAGCAATGTAGCTTCTTCACTGGCATTTTTCTTCATTACGGAGCCGGCTCTCTGTGTGACTCTGGCCGCAGGACATTCTAGAGTTTCTTGAGCTGGAAAGAAACCGATGTAGCACCATCAGGTAAATGGTTCGCTAGACTTTATGAAAAATGAATGCAATATGTCAGACGGTCCCCGCATAACAGAGGCTTACATTTTGTTTTTTAATAAGAGAACAGGGTGTGTAAAAGAAAAATGGCTTTAAGAAGTAATAGTCATCATTCGGGTATGGACGGTTTAGATTGGTCTTAAATACTTTCATCAGAAGTCTTAAATGCTGTTGTGACATGGCTGTTTAATATTTCATATTTTATGTACTTTTTTAATCGCAGGACATTTCTGTTGGCCAAGAGTTGAGTCGTATTCAGATATTGTTGCTTTCTGTGACTCAAAATGTTGAAGGTTGCTGCTAACTCGCTGCTAACATACCTCACTTGCTTGGTAGCTAGCTAGCTTTTTTTTTTTTTCTACTGCAACTTTCTTGCCTCATGAGGTATGTAAACACGTAGAACGTGTCATCACTGCATCAAATAATTCTGTCTAGCGTAATATGATGATATACAGAAAATAACTTAATTGTAAAGGACATAATAATATCCTATTCCTCTTGTAAAGTCTTAATTTCTTTAAATGTGCAGGAACTGGTTGGGGATTTTTGTCATTAATCAAATTTACCTTTTTTCTTACTTCAAATTTTTTAAGCTTGTGTGTTGTTTTGGATTCAGGCGGTTGATAGTCAATATTTTGTCAACTTTGACCTGAAGGGACTATGTTTTTATTTGAATTATCAGTGATTTTCTTTCGCTTTGCTGTGCAGTGTGTTTTTCCTATATTGGTGGATGCAGTGATAAACTTCTGACACCGAACTTTTCCAAAGTCTTTGCTATCTTTACACTTGTACCGATTCTGGCTTTGAAAATCTCAAGAATGCTCTTGTACTACTTGGCTTATGTTCTTTTTTTTCCATCTTTAAATGAGGAATGTGTCTTTCCCAGTCTTTCTTTTCTTTAGTTTTAAGTTTCTAAAACTGAAAAAATAAGTTTTGAGTGTTTTAAATCAAATGGCACTTTTATACCACATATTCTCCTGCACTGTAGTTTATTATTGCTGCTGTTTCTCTTTTGTATCTACAGGGTCCTGATCTGCACTCATTCCAACAGCGCAGCTGACCTTTACATTAAAGACTATCTTCATCCATATGTGGAAGCAGGCAACGAGCACGCCAGACCTCTCAGGTACTGCATCTCCAATCACCCTCTGCTTTGTTCTCCACCCTGTACTGTCGCAACTAATGCAATCTGAACTACCTGGGTTCTGATTTTGCATTTATTTCAGATATGCCTTGTTTAATTTGAGGTACATGAAGCTTATTTTAGCTTAAGGAAGATGCAGACTTCTTTCCACCTAGAGTTGCATTAATTTTTCACCAAGATCCTGTATTGATGATGGGAGAGTCCAACCACTGTGCAAAGCATTCTCCAGATCCCAAAGATCTTTTGTCTTGTGAAAGAAATGTTTTCTGCAATTTCTCAAGATGACATTTTTCAACTTCTGTCGGCTGTTTTGGTGTGACTAATACAACTAGCATTGCTAGCATTGTCTGAAAGTGGAGCTACCAGCAAATTTTTTTCATTCTGCCCCGATAGGAATTTTCTGTTAAGAAGAACATTACACTACGTTTCTAAGATACTAATTAGAAGGGTGTATCAAGTGAAAACAGAAAAATTTGTCATTTGGAAAATTATTTTCTAACAGAAGACCCAAACATACCAACTTCAAACAAAGCCACAGTTGGATCAAGGACACAAAAAACACAAGCAATGCATGAGTGTCAAACCGTCCTGGCAAGTTTTAGTAGACTTTGTTAAAAACAAAAAATAAAATAAATAAAATATTAGATGAGCAAATAATGCATTCCAAGCTTTACTTTGTTGTTGGAAAGAAAAATGTTGGATCCTAACAAGGTTGTGCAAAGTGGGACTCAAACAAAACATAACAACTTGAAGCAGCCCTGTAATTCTCTAGCAAATTTGCCAAAGAGCTTGTTCCTCTCAACTCTTCAAATACTTTACATATTAACAACCCTAAAGACCTTTTTTCAGCTAAAAGCAGCAAAAAGTTGAGACTTCCTCTGAAAAACTTATAATTACTTATTTTAATAGTTCAAACAGCAAGTTACCTTGAATTAATGCGCAGAGGAAACCGTGTTAGCAATACCGAAGAAGCTAAAATCTACAGTCTGATTATATTGCTGTGAACTTTAAACACTGTGTAAAATGAACAGATTTTTAGATCGTTTGTTGGGAAGACGTAGTTTTCGCTTCTCAGCTGTCTGCCATTTTGATGCCAACATCCAGTAAAGTTATTTCCACTGTGGGCTCTTTGTCAGACTTCCCTGGTTGGAGTGAATCAGTGTGGCACTACATCAGTCTATTTTATCTGAATTACAGCTATTGAATGTTGCAGGCAGACCAATACATCAACATTAACACAAATTGTTGCGCAGCTTTGTTGTTTTCACCTTACTGCACATATATGAAGACCATGAGGACGTGAACACAATATTTCTTTTTTGAACCACCTTACGGTGACTAATACAATTTCTTACCCATCTTCAAAATATTTTTGCAACTCCAGAGGTAAAGAAGCCCTGCTTGTCTTGACATGCCCAGATTTTCCATGAAAAATGTAGGGTTTTTTTTTTTGCATAAAAGCGCCATTTTTATTTTTTAATTTTACACAACACTGAAATAAAGGTCTATACAGGTTAAAATGTGCACATAGCTTAGAACTTTGCACCTCCTTATCCTCATGTTTCTGCCTTCCTTTGTCCTTCCAGGGTATATTTCAGGAACCGTTGGGTGAAGACCGTCCACCCGGTGGTCCAGCAGTACTGTCTCATCTCCAGCACACAGGTCACTTTCCAGATGCCCACAAGGGAGGACATCCTCAGGCACCGTGTTGTTGTGGTCACCCTCAGCACCTCCCAGTACCTCTGCCAGCTGGATTTGGAACCTGGTGAGTCCAGAATAATCTTGTATTGAAGGAGTTGGTTATGTTTGGGGGGTTTTTATGTGACGTTCCTTCAGCCATTCATCTTAAAAATAAAAAAAACTTGTTGGATTTTTTTTCCCCCTACTCTGCATGAAACTACCCCATAATTTGCAATATAGCTTGTTTTTCTATTTCTCAGCTAGCAGAGATACATTTTGTTTAAAACCAGCATCTATTTTCAAATACACCTTTATGAGGATGTTCACACATTCTTTAATTTATGCATCTAAAATGAAGGCCTTAAAATGTCTTAAATTCATTAAAGTAAATGTAAGTTGGCCTTAAATACGTTAATCGCAGATCTTGATTTTGTCATGGCTGGGCTATTTAATGTCAAATAATCTAGGTAGTTTTTTTCTTATGGGACATTTTTTATTAGGCAGAAGTTTGAGCCATGCACAAACATAATCACTCACTGCTTTCTGTGGCTCAAGCCAGTTAATGCTACCATTAACAAGCTGCTCATACTTGTGGGCTAGCTAATGGCTAACTTATGGCTCCCCAGCTAACTAGCGACCCGTATTCCATGTGAGAAACACAAAGATCCCAGAACTTTCACAGTTTTGGTTCACTTCATTTCTTTTGGACGTCTCTGTCATGATATAGGTCTTAAATTTTATTCAGAAAAATGTCTTAAAAGGTCTTAATTGGCAATATCAGTAAAAAAAAAAAAAAAATCTGCTCTGTGCATTAGACCTGCATTATTGGTTATTCTTGTCACTTCGACAGTCGGCATTGGGAGATCGGAGTGGAATTCATTTAAGTTGTGCCAAAGTCGTGGAAAACAAACCGATTTGTCGGCGCAAGCTAATAACCGGCACTAATGTATCAGGGGAGGGGGCTTTGTCTCTAGCCTGGGTACGCCATCTGCTTGTTTCTAATGTATTGCACGTCATTAGGCCTCCCACCCCATGTTGCATCTCTCCTGCTCTGCTGGCATTTGGTGATGAAAATAGATGGGAAACAAGGCAATGGAGAGATGGCGAGTCTTCTTAAGTAGCAATAACGAATCTTCTACTGGAAACTCAGTTCTTAACTTTTCTTCCATCTTTGATAAAGCATTTGATTGGGGGGCTAATACGTTTCAAGAACAGCTGCAGGATTTCAGAAAGCATGCAATTCCTCTTAAAGGTGTGACGCTGATATCAGTTGTGATTGACTCGCTTTTTCTTGACTGTTTGTGTTTCTTTTCGTTCATTACTATGTTTTTACTTTTTTTATGAGCATCTCAGCTACTGAGAATATGGATATTGAGGACCAAAACTGACTTTTTCTTTCAAAGTTTGTATCATGTTATTAGCTGGAAAAACTGAACCTAAATTTGTAGATTTTGGTCTGAATGTAAAACTTGCCTTGGTTGATAACATCAAGATTTTTCCAAACAGAAGCAAATGAAGGGTTATTTGCTTCGAACAATTTGACTCTAAATTTAGTATATTTTAGCCATAAGTTGACATTTACATTTGTTCTTCTAAATGCCAGTTCTCAGGTAGGTTGTCAGACATGCATAGAACAATTTGCACTGTTCCATTTGGCTCATTATCTTAAAGAGAGTAAAAAAAACAACAAATTCAGTGTTGTTTCTTTCCTGCAGATTCAAAATGAGTTAAAACCATTTAGTAAAAGCAGCACCGTGTTCCTGGAATCAAGCCGCAGCTTTCATAGACTGTTCTGTTTTTGGTTTTTCTTAATTTGCCCTCAATCTGTTTAGTCCATTTAACAATTAAACTCTAACGCTCGGCCCGTTGCTGTTTTACAGGAAGTCCAAATTGAGTCTTGGTTTTCATTTATATCTGCTTGTACTTTTGGAGTTTGGAAGCTGAATTCACTCGTATATTTGAGTCACAGGCCTCCTGATGGAAGCTGACCACTCTGGTTGTGGCGAGAGACAAATTAAACTTTGTTCAGTTTAGTGTTTAATTTATGTTTTTAAATCCTAGTTACCCCCAGGGTTTCATTTAATACAGAAAAAAAATAAATGTCCTAAAGTTGCCACCAGAATTCTCATTTCATTATTTTCACAACAGTCTTTAATCCTGTCCCAAATGGTTTCAACAGGATTTGACTTGTTGGAAATTAAGTGATCAAGATTTCATGCCAAATATTTAATAAATTTTTTTATATTCATATTCCACTTTGTAGCAGCTTTTTCCCCTCCGTTTGGAGTACTGCCCTGCATTTTCTTTTAAATTATTTAAGCTCTGGCTGTAGCGCAGTCTTTTGAACGTGTTGCGTAATTTGCAAGCTAGCTTCAGTCTGTAGCCAGCGGAGCATCGTTTGCATCGAACAAAAAGTTAGTGTGTGTATAAACTGGTATGAGTAATTTATAGGCTTCATTAACCAGAGATGATGGACGCAGCACAGGGAATGTCTCCTAATTCTAATTGAGTCTTCTTGTTTAATTACCTCAAACGGAGAAAAGAAAGGCCATTCACAAACTTCTGTTTCAAGGACTGAGAATTTCCTGTTTCTGCCTGCCTTCAATATGATTATTGATATGTGTGAAATATGCATCAATCAGCTGGCAGAACATACTCAACTTTTGTTTCATCTAGGATTTTGTAATTGTTTTGCAATCAAAATCTCTGATTTTGTGGTGTAACTTTAGAAATGTTTGCAAGAAATTTTGTGACATTTCTTCCTCATTAGACCCGTTCCAAAATATATGCATAGAATATTAAAAAAAAGACTAAAAAACAAGCTGACAGATTGAACACAAACATTTTTATTATTTAAAAAACGTGCTGACATAATCCATATCCTGAGCAGCTTAGCATGACAAATTTCAATAGTTAGCTGTAACCTGCTACCAGTAACTTAGGCTAACAGAATAGACTAAAATAAAGCCTTAAAATGTCTTAAATTCATAAAAATGTAAGCTGGCATTATATTTTCATAAAATGTAAGGTCTTTCAAAAAGGTTTTAAAAGCCTTAAATTTTTGTTGCTTAATCTGACAGAAACCCTGATGTGCATAATTTAAGCATAAATTATTGAGTAATTAATCTATTGGGTTTTTTGTGGGTTTGAAGTTAAAATCTTAATGGCCTTATACAAAGACTTAAATTTAGACTGAAACTTGCTGAATCCTTTCAGTTCACCTGAAACCGTTCATAATCAGGCTATTATTTCTGAACCTGGTTTAACATATAAACTCCTCCTGTCAGATTACATCTACTGTATATCTGCATATTTATCAAACTCATGTAGTACAAAATTAATAATATAAACGATTCAGGTTGTAAACAAGCCTGGTACAGAACATCTATAGCTCATGTATATATTTATAGGATTTGAGACTTTGGGATTTTACAGCTTGGTCTGCAGTTACGCTGATGTCAAAAAATAGAAAGTATTTTCCTGCTCTGATATTAAGTCGGGCCCGAAAGGGTGTCAGACCATGCAGCCGAAACCACAATACATAAAACAGGGTACGTAATTTTACACATACAGAATAATTTATGACCAATCTGACAAACTTTTTTACAAGTGTGGATTTACAAGACCTGGTGTGGCTTCATTCACAGATCTCTGCCCAGACTTTCCAAACCTGTCAAAAGGGTTGGAAGCTGTTTCAAGGGAGTGTGCGATTAGAAGCAGCTGCCACTTTAATCTGAGAGTTTTTTCTTCTGTCTGATTTTATTTACATCTGCTTATGAACTCCCCCCATTACTCCTAAATGTCACACTATTATTTTTTTCCAAATGCAAACTTTATTATTAGCTCTGTAAAGTATAGAAAATGTAATTTGGACCTCTAATAGTGAGATCCATTCCCCCGGCGCCAGTAGACGTTTCTAAGGTGAAACATCAAGCGCCGGGTTCCTTTTTTGCTGCCTGTCTGCTGACATGTTGATTGTAAAGACCATATTTTTTCCCTTCCTGTCTTCCGATTGATCTCCCATTCCTTGAAACATTCCCGTCCCTAACATCTCCTCTACATCATTTGTAAGCTGTTATTGGACTGCGCTGTGTTGATGTGGATTGGGGCTTCCTGTTCGATGCAGTTTGTATCAGGGGACTGACAAAAATCGGTTGGACTCTGTAATTACAGCATAGCTTTTCCGCACTGTGAGTTTGATTGGAAAGTTACACAAGCTCTATAACAGTGGTGCTCACAGCGACCTCTGGCAGGAATTGTTAGGAGATGACGGTCTCCAGGTGTAACACTTATAAGATGTGCGACAGACTCGGCAGATGTCACCGCAGTTTTGCTCAATACATTTGTGCGCAGAAACACAGATATTTGCTACTTTGTCTATGATAAAAGATTCTTCAGACTGGCACTGGTTAGTCAGATTTTACTGTTGAGCTGAAAATGCCCAGAAGCATTTGTTTGCATGCATTCGTTTGTTCAAAGGGTTCTGCTAAAGACTGAAACTCCTCTCCATATCAGATTGCCCCTCTTTTTTCAATTTTATTCTAGACATGTTTGTGGTGCTTGTTTACTTTTCTGACAACCCAGAAGTTTTATTTAATTTTTTTAGCAGTCACATTTCATGTCTGCATGCACCTCCCTGTGAAACCGGTTCAGCTTTAGAGGCAGGTTGTTATTTAGCCTCTCGTTTTTTTTTCTTTTTCCCCTCCACTCCCTGCTCCAGCACTCATTTGCCATTCCGTTTTATCTCCCCCACTCATGCTGCCAAGCACCAGTTGAGCTTTTGAAATCCGGGTTCAACCCTTCTCTCTATAAAAACCCTGCCTTAGGTTTTCAGGACCGGTTAAATGAGAGTGTAGAACCATCTTGGAGCCCTCAACGAAAACAGAATATGAAGATTTAAATGCTAATGTGTGCCTTTGCACTAATTGGTATCTTAATTAAGCTTTATCTCTATTGTCAAATCTCTCTCTAGCCAGTTATTGTCTGGTTCGGTTTTGGCCTGGTTGGGTGTGTCTCACTGTGTGGCGTGAACATGGGCAAGATGGATTATGGATTATGGGCAGGATGTTGGATTATGGCCGGGTCGTAAGTGTTCAGGAGGTGTAGCCATTTTGAGCTTTTACCTTTGGGCGCCCAATTTCTCTGTAATCTGTCAGCATATTTGTTTGTTGTTGGTTGCCCTATCCAGTTGACACTGTATGCCACAATTGATTAAAAATGGTTTGGACCTCAAAGTTTGACCATGGAATCATCGCCTTCTCACCAATACTGCGGTCTCATCGCTGGTTGAAAAAATGGTGGTCGAGACATTATTGACGCACAAAAGAAACGTAAGCGGTTTAATCGTAAGGTTTGGTTTTTAAATAAACAAAACAACCCCTTTTTTAAAGAATAAAAATACAAATTAGGAATGTATTGCAAAGAATGCGTTGTGTCCTTCGGTGAAATTTAAACCCACAATGGACTCATTTGACTCAAGAGTGTTTATACATCTCTGTTATGTAACAACCTTTCTACCCAATTGACTCTGCAAAATTTCTCTCCGTTTTTAGTGTCCAGCACTTTGAGGACTGAGAGTAAACTAATAGTTTGTTTATTTTTCTCTCCCCCAAAAGGGTTGTTCTCTCACATCCTGTTGGATGAAGCAGCTCAGGCCATGGAGTGTGAAACCATCATGCCTTTTCCTCTTGCTAGCAAGACCACCCGCATCGTGCTGGCTGGGGACCACATGCAGGTGAGGGTGGAGGGTTTGTTTTACTGAAAATAAAAATAAAAACGTAATGCTTTGTTTTACTTATAAACTCAATTTGCATTACATATTGCTCACTATGAAATGCTTGTATGTTTTTAATTTAAGAATTTAATATTAAAAAAATAAATAAATAAATTTGGGACATTTGTTGCCTGCTTGAGTTTTCTAGGCCACAGACAACAGAAACAAAGACTTGTCAGTCGAGCTTTCTGCGCCAGCAATAGGAATTAAAAACCAGATTTTCCTCAACCTGTGATTTCCAGGGAGTGTGCGGTATTATCTGGGAGAGCGGGATAAAGACATCCTGAGAGTCTGGCGTGAAATAATTACGTTTTACAAACTCCGTTTTTATTCCGTTTCAGTCAACACAGAGAAACGCGATGCAAACGCAGGATTCTGTTTGTTACATCTCTGCCTTCCATTTGCTTTCCTAACCTGGAAAACAGGTTCTTTGCATTTGCAGAGGAAGAAAAGTGGTTTCCTTTTATTGTACTTTGTCTTTTTAGTAGTTTTGCGTTCTGCAACATATGAGCTAATTTAATATTCATAGAAGACTGTGGCCTTTACTGATTAAATCAAACCCAATAGATTAAATAACGATCTATTGGGTTTTTAAGATGAACAGAATCAAATGCTACCAATCGTCTGGTGTACAATTGTCAAGTATTACTCAGCAGTTCTGCTGCTGAGCTCGTAAAAGAAATCAGTTTTTATTCGCTTTCAATGGACTTTGATAAAACAAGCCCACTGAAAGTAAGCAGTTTGTATCCAAAGTAGGGGTGCACCAATTCCAGCTTTCTGGCTGATCGATTTTACTCAAGTGATGTAATTTAAATTTTTTCTGTTCAATCTCGTTTTTAGCTTTGACGCTTCGGTGAAACGGAAATTAAAGCAAATGTAATTTTGCTTTAATGAAATCAAAGCCCTTGGGTGACATTTTGAAATGAACCAAATTTCCCTTTTCCTCTGTTACTTTGCAGCTCAGTCCGTTTGTGTACAGCGAGTTTGCACGGGAGCGCAACCTGCACGTGTCACTGCTGGACCGGCTGTACGAGCACTACCCCCCCGAATTTCCCTGTCGCATCCTCCTGTGCGAGAACTACCGCTCCCACGAAGCTATCATCAAGTAGGTGTGAGCACTCAGTGCTGCCGGCAGCAAATCAGTTCTGGGAAAGTCTGTATTAAAGAAGGCAGTGGGAGGTTCTGCTTGTTCTGAATGCCTACGTTAAGGAGCAGAGTCTCCTAGAGGAAGACTACCACCCTGTTGTGGTTGTAATTTACATTTGGAAAGGATTTTTCTCATACAACAAACACAAGTTATTTCCTCTCTTCTTGTCGACTTTCACAGAAGTACATTTAAAGATAATTGTTTCATTGTATCAAGGTATTTTCACCAGCATCCTCTCACCAAGGATTTTATTACAAATGAAAAATGACTTTTGCAATAACATGAAAGAAACTGTTTTGTTAAACATGTTTTTCATTGCGATTTTGATATACGGAACATGGAAAGTAGCAGAAAGAAAATGTAGACCGTCACTTATTTTAAAATCAGTCACTATTTCAGGCATGATTAAGAAAGATTTTCCTATTTTATTTCTTCCGCTGAAAATATTTTATTATTAAGGATGTTGGCTGAAAGAGTAGATTTCACAGGTGTAGAAATTTTTTTATTACTGTTTTTTTGTTTTGTTTTGTTTTTTGTTCACATTCACATTTCAAACCTTGATGGTTTCAAATTTAACAGTGAGTGGTTTCTCCTGTGTTACACAGGATGTCCACTCATCCTTAAAGTATTAGTAATGAAGCTGCATTGGTAAAACTGTCAGCACATTTTTTAATTCATGCATCTAAAATTAAGGCATTAAAGTGTCTTAAATTTATTAAAGAATATACAAGTTGGCAATAAATATGTTATCACAGGTTTTAAATTTTGTTGTGGCTGAACTATGTAATTTTGCATATTTTACATGGACTTTTCTGTGATGCAGAAGTTTGAGTTGCCCACTGACATTTCACTCACCTTTTTATGTGAAGCAAAAGCTGCTAATGCTTGTTTGCTAGCTGGCTAGCTTTTCGTATCTATCTAAATAGTCAGTTGACTGGACGACATCTGTCTTCACAGCTGGCTCACATTTGTTGGCAACTCATACAGCTTTGGTCAAATAAAAAAAAAATCTATTTCTTTTGTACATTTCTGTTATAGTCTTAAAATGTTCACTTTTAAAGTCTTAAATTTGAGTTGGTGAAACCTGTTAGAATTCTGTTACAATTAAACCATGTTTGACGACGAGGAGCAGTTCTTCATCGAATCCCTTCAAGCCTTTATATGCAGCCCTGTGTCAATTATTTACTTTAGTTTTAATGAGAAATATTCATTCATGAACTTAATTTCCTGTATTTCCTGCCATTTCTCTGCTTCTCCTTCCCAAAGCTACACATCCGAGCTATTTTACGACGGAAAGCTAATCGCGAGTGGGAAGCAGCCGTGCCATAAGGATTTCTACCCGCTGACCTTCTTCACAGCCAGAGGAGAAGACGTCCAGGAGAAGAATAGCACTGCCTACTACAACAATGCAGAGGTACTAGTTGGAGCATTTCTACTTCTTGTAGTTATGTGATGAAACAAATATTTCCATTGGTTTAACATTGTCCTTCAAGTGTAATTTAAATATTTCTCTTCTAAACCTACAATCCATTCTTGTCTTACCAGTGTGTCCGCTCACCCTTAAAAAAATCTTAAATTTGTGTACTTAAACTTAAGGTCTTAAAAGTGTCTTGCTTTGAAAAGTAACTTGGCCTTAAATATGTTAATCACAGTCATGTCAAGATAAAATTTATCTCATATATTCTATGCATTTTTTTTTTCTCTCGCTGGACTTTGAGTCACACTTCTGTAACTTGAGACGGTTGCAGCTAACGGTAACTCACTGTTAACACTCATTTTTGTCAGCTAGATGTCAAAATGCTAACGAGCTGGCAATAATACATGACAAAATTGCACTTATCTTGGGTAAGTGCAAATTTATTATGAGTTGACTGGTCGACGTTTGGACATTTCTGTGACAAAATAAATTCCTTTCATTATGGTCTTAAAAAACCTTACATTTGAGTCAAAACCTGCAGAAATCCTGTCTATAAATCCACATTGTGAATTGGGCTCTGAGCATTCAATGAGGGAGTTTAGAAACTTTTACTTAAATATGTTCTTTTTCATTTACAGTTGTATAGCATATAAAAAAAAAACTCACTAACTGAATTCTGACCAATATAAATAGCTAACGGACTTGACTGTGATATTTGAAGTGATTTCTTATCTTGGAATTTGGAAATAAATGAACTTTTGAATGAGCTTCATGCTTTCAAAATGATTAGGTTTAAGGTCAGAACGACTCCAAATCAAAAACGCATCACTTCATATTCCAGACATTTTTCAACTTGGGTCAGCATTGATATCCCCGGATTTACAGATAGTCTGCTTTCATTAAACCACAGCTTCCTGTTTTGATGGACCGTCTTTGATCCCTCACTGCTACGCAAGTCATAAAAGCGCTCTTTGTTCTTCAAATAATACTGTTTTTTATGTTGCCTGTGGAAAAAAATATCCCCAAACTCGCTCAGTGCTATTTCAGGTCAGGTGTATGTAAGGGATCATGGTGTCGCCTCCTTTTCTTCTCATAAGTCTCATTTCAGGGCATGTGAAGTCAATTTAAAAAGTGGGGGATTTGGTTTTATTCAATAAAGGTCTTTTAGAAGTATGTTGAAACCATCATTGTGTGGACTAAGCAACGTAATGTGGTTTCACTTAATGAGCAATAAGAAATTAAAGCAAAAGAATCTTGATCAAAGTAAATTAAACCAAAGGTAATTGGTTACTTTTATTTTGCAAAACAAATGAAAATTCATATTGCTGCTGAAATTTCACCCATTATAATGAGGGGAGAGAGATGATCTACTGCTGAAATGATTCACTGTGATGGGTCACTTTTTGAAATAATCAGCTAATTTAGTAATCGATTAATCGTTAACTGGAGTGCACAGACTCAAGAAAAGGTTAACTGCTGAATGAACAACATATTCAGAGCAATAATTGAGCCAAAACAGTTGAAAAAATTCATACATATTGCACATAAGATTGAATAAACTTTTTGTCAGTGTGTATGTTGTACTCAGAACTCCTCAAGTGGTTTCAGCTTCACCTGGTTCAAGTTCTGTAAAAGAATAAATAAATAAGTGAAACCTCCTATTAAGCAAATGACAAATGAATAAAAAAAAAATGTATCAACAGATTAGACTTGCGACTTATTGATATGTCGAGTAGAAAAGCTGAACTTTTCACATGTTGATGTTAGAAGTACTTTTTACCTACAGATGCATCTTTTGCCACAAATAACCAACCGTTCACTAAAAGATTAAAAGAATGTGATTGAAATTTAGGCAATAAAAACTTTCTCTCAGCATGTATGGAATCATTTCTTTGTATTTTTATCCAATTCTCACCTTGTATAAAATAATCTTAAGCGGTTAAATGAAAAATCTGTGCATGTTTTACATTTTTTATGCAGTTAATCACAGGAATAATGGAAAGAATAACCAATCCCAAAACTAACGGTTAGTTGTTGCCTGTGCACATTAAAACGACTCTAAACTATTGGATTTTATCACCTTTTATGACTGAAACTTTGCAAATGAATCTCACCGTGATGACATCTGTGAAGGTGTTATCTTTCAGCATAAAACTTACAGCAGGTTTTACGTTTGTCTTTTAAACATCCACATTTTGGTTGGTTGAAGATACTTTTTTCTCTCTACTGCCGTGTTTGAACACAACATTCATCCACTGAGCTGGCTGTGTCATTTATTTTAGCTGCTCATAGTCGGCTAAAATAAATAACAGAATTTTTGTGTGAGCTGAAATATTTAAAGTCTCTTGTGGCGTTGACTTGGAGTCATCAATGCCCCCGATCACTCCGTAGGTGTTTGAGATCGTGGAGCGAGTGGAGGAGCTGCGTAAGAAGTGGCCGGTGGCCTGGGGGAAGCTGGACGAGGGCAGCATCGGGGTGGTGTCGCCGTACGCCGACCAGGTTTTCCGCATTCGTGCCGAACTCCGAAAGAAGAGAATGCACGAGGTCAGCGTCGAAAGAGTGCTTAATGTCCAAGGTGAGCAAAAAAAGAAGAAGAAGAAAAGATGAGCTTGGCTGAAAATGACAAACATGTCGTAAAACTTTATTCTTTAAGGTATTTCATTCTGGTTTGTCGGTGGTTCCACCTTTCTTTGTAATATTGGTGAACATTTTGTTTCTTTTGCTTTTTCGGTTCTGCTGCTCTGGCTTGTGTTGCATCCAGCTGCTTTGTTCATGTCTCATTATTCATGCATGAAACAATGCACAGCTTGCAATCAGGAAGGAGAGTTTTCTTAGCACTTGGATTTTTCATTTCTTGCACGTATAATCCCTGTGTTTTATGAACAAGCTCCAGAGTTGGACAAATATTACATTATCATGTCAGTTTTTCCGCAAATGTGGTCATTTTGTTGTATTCTTTTTAATACAGCAACAAGAACTCGCACAATATTACCAAATTTGACCCTTTATTAAATTATATAATGAGGGTGATGGCTTTTTTTCTGGGACATCTTGGTTAACATTTAATCCTACTTTGAATTAATAACACAAAATTAAATGTTTCCTCTGTTGCTAAACCTACATGTTTTCTTGGATCCTGCTGAATTGATGCATTTCCGTAAAATAATGAATGTAATAACGGTAAAAATAAATAAAATGTCTTTTTGCAGGTAAACAGTTCCGAGTGCTTTTCCTCAGCACGGTGCGGACGCGGCATACCTGTAAGCACAAGCAGACCGCCATCAAACGCAAAGAGCAGTTGGTGGAGGATTCGACCGAGGACCTCGACTACGGCTTCCTGTCAAACTACAAGCTGCTCAACACGGCAATCACCAGAGCTCAGTCCCTGGTCGCGGTGGTGGGAGACCCCATAGCGCTCTGCTCTGTTGGACGCTGCAGGTAATCCCTTCAAATCCGTCATTTAACAGATTTGACACAACAGCTGGTAGATTAAATAGAAGGTAAAAACTGATGTTCCTGCATAACAGCCTAAATCTTACTACAACATTGGTGTTAAAAGGTAAATTACATTTTTGTTTAATTTCTTTTTTTTTTAAATGGCTCATTTAATGTTTTTTCATATTACATCAAGCATTTGCTAAAATGGAAAATAGTACTTTTTCATTCATTTTGAAACTTTTTGAAAATGAACAACTTTGGATTTAGTTGTCTTTTGCACAGTTTAGTCTCCTTTAAACTGTGCAAAAGACACAGTTTAATCTGCATATATCTGAGAAGGTCATGTTACACAAAGGACCACTGCAGCTTCGTTGTCTGTGTTGAGCGGACTTTGAAGGGGGAAAAAAAACGGTTTATCATCAAAACAAGTCATAAAAAGTTAGTTTTGTGAGTCTCTTCATGCAAAAATAGACCGTAATTGCTAGAAAATCTGCTAAAAGTGGCTGTACTCTTTATTTGTGTTTCTGCTGAAAAGTCACATGCTCCATTTAAAGGAACAGTATTTTGTAAAATTTATTTTTTTGAGCTTTACATCATGTTATACTGTTATTCCCTCATCATAAACAGAGCTGAAGTGTTGCTTTGAGTCTTTGCTGCATGTGTCAGAAATCCTTTAGTCTTCATGGCAACCATTCAGCTGTGAAAAACGCCTGGGTGGACCGAGCTCCGCCTTCTTCTGGAGAAACTGCCGGCTCACGGGGCACCTGTAACTCCCCACTCGGCTCCTTCAGACTAGCCAGCAGAAATTCGCAAACGCGGTGAAACGGCGCATCAGCTGAGCTCATTATATGAGCTACTTGCACTTGTTAAAGGCTTAATAGAGGAGCGATGATGTGATGACTTCCTGAAGGCGAAGTTTCAGAAAGAGCAGGAGCTTTTAAAGCGACAGGGATCCAATTTTAAGGTGTTAAGTTACAAGGTAACGTTTCTTTTAAGTCATATTTGATATGTACACCATTTTGTTTTTGAACAAATGAAGTTAACATAGTTACTTGATTACGCTCTGTGTGCCTGGAAAACTCATAATACACATAAACGATATGAGCTGGAGTTTGATAGTCATATCCAATCAAGACGAGTTTAAGGAAGGAAGAATAAAAAGAGTATAGATTCCAGCACAAAATTTTGCCGCTCAAGTTGGCAGCATGTTGGAGGAGCTCGTACATTCAGATTTATTCTTTTTAAGATTTGTTTGTCTTTTTTTGGGAGAGGCTTTTTTCCCCCTCAAGGTGAGCAGATGATGTAAAAATCTTCATAAAATCAAGAAAATGATGAACATGCCTGGGCACCCTCTTCTTAAGACGTTATCCCACAACATATAGTTTATCAGAAGCTCCTTCAGATTTGTTGTAACACTGACTTCTAGCAGATTGTCAAAATCTTAAGCAAATCTTTGAAGAAAATTGTGTTGCATTTAGGTATCTTCGAGGGTTGGATAGAGTATTTTGGAATTGAATTAATTTGAATACAACAGCGATTACATTTGGGATTATTCTGGCTCATCTCAACTTAGATGAAATTTGCTCCTTTACTCTGATACAGGCTGTAATTGATCCAACCTGCTGTCGGCTCATTGTTTGAATCGATGTGGGCCAGCCTCCACAACCGTCTCCATAATGGCTGCGGTTTGCCAACGCTAGTCAAAATAACATGTCAATGTTTTCACTGTCTGGCTGTTGACAAATGTCAGCCTGTCAGCATCCAGTAAAATTGATGCGATTAGGAGGAGCGCATCCTTTACACAGATTTCCAGCAACGAAAGGTTGAGGTCAGCGGCGCAGCGGAAACTTTGCTCTTAAAAACGACAAACTGAAAGATGTTTTGATGTGCATTTAGAAGTGGCTTAATTTTCATTCTTGGTTCCTTTCCAGAAAATTCTGGGAGCATTTCATCTCAATCTGCCACGAGAACTCCAGTCTGCACGGCATCACCTTCGAGCAGATCAAGGCTCAGCTGGAGGCCCTGGAGCTCAAGAAGACCTACGTCCTCAATCCGCTGGCCCCGGAGTTCATCCCTCGGGCCCTCAGGCCCCTTCAGGGACACCAGTCCTCCTCACAAGGCCTTCATCCCCACCATCATCCTCATCATCAGCACGGTCTGCCTGCCTCCAACAAGCAGGCTGCACAGCATCATCAACAACAGCAGCAGCAGCAGCAGCAGCAGTCCCCTCCAAAGGTACTGAGTTTTTCTGTGAGAAGCACATAGAACATAGAAATATGGAGTTACAGGTTATTACACTGAAACCACTAAAGACATCTTAAAATGTCTGCTGTGTGAATAATAAGTGTTTTTATTTTAGAGCTTCACAAGTATCAAAGTTTTCTTTAACTTACAGAATAATGTCATCTCTGGTTCTGGTTCAATATTTTAGGACTGTTACAGGCAAAACGTATTTCCAATGTGATTCTTCAAAATGCATCAGTACTGACTGAAATTTGCATAAACAAATCTTTACCCCCAAAAAAGAAATTGTTTAAGAATCAATGAAATTCCAACCTATTGTTTCACTTTTGCATAATTTTATGCAAAACTGCAGCAGAGCCCCTGCTTTGTTTTTCTTCTCTGACTCTCAAACTAAAAGGCAGATTTATAAATTGATTTTGTTTTTGAATATTTTAAACCAAAAAATCAGAAGAAAAAAAATAAATGTCTTATTTTACATCTGTTTTAATCTGGAAAATATTGTAGGACTAGTTAGATATTTAGTCATATTTTTATACTTTAGCAAATCAGCAAAGAAATTACCATAATAATTCAACTTCTTGTCAATAGAAAAATAAAAATTCTCTACACTTTCTGGAGGTGGGAAACAAATTACTTAAAAAGTCCATGTAATTTTCACCACAGGAAATGATTTTATGATTACCAATTTGCCAGCGAGGAAGAAATAAAAAATGAAGTGAAAAATCAGACTGGAAATCTGCGTTGTGCTCCACACAAGATTCTCTTATTAGATTGTTTCGCTGGGTTTAAATCGCCTTTGTGTGGCTGTCTGCTCTCGCCGCCCGCCCCGAGGTAAAGGTTAACGAAATCAGCAGAGCTGCCAACCTGCTGCCGTCACCCACTGGGCCTAATGAGCCCCGGCTCCGGCAGCCAGCTTTAGGGATAAACACACGCTTCCGCTCCGCTCTTCCTTCCCTACGCTGCACACTTCACAACTCTCTGAGCTGCCTGTGAGAAAACTACAGAGTGGGTGCTTTCTGTCATTGCACCTTGAACATTTAACAACCAGGGCATTCAGATTGTGTCAAATTTAGCACAAGTTATTCTGCAGAGTTTTAAAAATTGCATCTTTTTGCGTTTATATTACTTAAAAATGTTTCCAGAACCAGATTGTAACTTTTGTTTGTGTAGGTCTTATTAGAATTTTGCGGCCAATTTCCCGTCTGAACATTTTGTTTTTTAATGACCAGTGAATATTTATTTTAATGATTTTGGATTTCACGTGGAAAAAAATCTCAAATAGAAAAATTTAATTCTTGTATGTTGTTCATTTTAAAAACCACATCCCACTTAGGCCTTTCACAATAAATCAATTCATCGCATTATAAATCAAAAGAAACTCAATACATTTTCTTAATTTTTAGTTTTGTTTCTTCAGTTTAGTGCTTTGGTCTCAAAAAACCTCTTTGTTTGAAAGATAATTTTGTTAACACAGTTTTCACAATTCATTTTATTTGTTTTTTCCCTTATTTTCTTGATTTATTTTGAATATTATTATTCTGTCTTCCAGTTTAAATGTTCATTAGAATTTAAAGTTTATAGATCATTGATGATGTGTTGTTGCACTATTATACAATTATTACTATTGCATTACTTGAAAATGGTCACAAAACAACTAATATTGTTTATTGCAATAAATTCTGGTACATCTTATTGTCCAAAAAAATTTATAGTAACAGGCCTAATCATACTATAAATGTAAATAATAACAATAATAATAAGAAATGGTTGCTGTAAAACAGGTTTTGTGTAATATTGCTGCAAAACAGATGATCGACCGATACTTGAACGTGAAACCGGTCTTATCCATCAATCTTATCCACCTCCAAAAAGACTTTTTGCTCTATACAGCGGTCACCCAACAGGTGCAAAATGTAGCTTCTTTGTTTCTACATTTGGCAACTTTTCAGACTAAAGAGAAAAAAAATCGCCATCAACCAAAATCAGAATCAGCAGGTCAGGCTTTTTAAAGATCCGTAATCGGCCAGAAATCTGCAATCAGTGCGCCTCTAGTTGTGACGCAAAAATTAGACACTAAGAACTGTAAGGTAATTAATCTGCTTTTCGTCATACTCCTTATCCCACTGACTCCCCTTCCTGCTGTTCTAAAGTAGCTATGGTTTCATGACTAATTGCTTTGCTTTCCTGTAGGGGAAACAGGCGAACCACACCGAGCACCTCCCACCCGATGGATACGGTGAGTATCAAAAGCCTGTGTGTTGTTTATGTTATTGAACTGTGTGTATTTGTAATAAATAGTCAGTTTAGGTTTATTTGGGATTTGTTCCTGCCTGCACGCCATTTTTATTGGCAAAGAAAATAGTCAAGAACAACAAACATGCAATTATATTATTTCCCTCTAAATGAAGCCAGCATGGGCTCTTGAGATGCAGCAGCCCAGACGGATACACACAGGCCTGAGGCTGTTGACACCATCAGAGCGAAGCAGCCAACAACATAATAATCTTTCTAGGGAAGCGCAATAAGTTTATGTCAGCAAGCTGCACTAGTCTTTTAGACTTTTAAAAAGACAATCTGTGACAGTATAATATTTGACTCCATTTATGATGCTGGTTACATTTTTCATTGGTGGAAAAAAATAACCCAATATTCCAAAAATGAAATCTTAATTGTTCAATTGATAAAATAGATGCTCCTCTATGGATCCTTTCCCTAATCCATCCATTTATGAATTTTGCATTTAAGGTTTGATGCTTACAGAAATCTCTACCATACATTTGTATTATTTTTTTATTTAAATTTTTATTAAAGCACTACATTGACCAGAAAACCTCAACTTATCTACTTTTAGAAAAGTTTGTAGTTTGAAAATAGCCATTGTCATTGAAGGAAGTCCATTTTAAATTCTTTTGTCACTCTTCACATTTTAGTACAATCCAGCCCTGCCGTGTTGATGGGAAACCCGATCCGGGCCTTCACGCCCCCTCTGGGTGCCACGCCGGCCGGCATAGGGAAGTCGCCCAGCCCCGTGCAGCGCATCGACCCGCACACCGGAGCCAGCATTCTCTACGTACCAGCTATGTACGGCGGAAACGTGGTCATGCCCATGCCTCTGTCGGTACGTTTCCCCCAATAACCTGAGTTAGTCATCTGCTCCCTCACTGCGTGCGGTGATCCTGCGAAAAATGTTTTTGATCCGTGATTTAGTTTTGTCGTCCTTAGTTGCCCTGGCCAGGTTACCAGAACCGCTTTGCTGTGGACCCTCGCATCATGAGCCACCCGGCGGCCATGGCCTACAACTTAAACCTGCTTCAGCCGCAGAACCGAGGCTCTCCCATCCCTTATAGCGGCGTCGCCCACCCCTCTCCTTTAGGACTGGCCCAGCTCAGCCCAGAGAAGGACCTGCAGGCTGACCTCATCAGGAACGGTCTGCTTCTCTTGTGCTTAAACTTCAGGGCAATCAGCTGCAGCTACAAATAAACTGAAAATGAGAAACACTTGAGTTGACTGAAGGCGGTTATGTTGTGACTTCTAGGTAAAGGAGACGGCTGCTCAAAGGTCGAACAGACTCGTCTTCAGACGCCAGAGAGGAAAAACGCAGACATAAGAGAAAAACAGGCAGGTTTACCCGTTTGTCGATGGGTATAAATGCGCATTTATGTTTTATGAAAGCTCCTTTATTATTACGATTATGTTAAAGTTTCTTTTTTTGTGTGTTTTGTTGCAGGGAGATTTAGACACTGGTCAAAATCGAAGTTTAGATTCCCAACCAGAGGGTCTGGTTGGCTTTCCGAACGCTCTGCTTCACCGAAAAGACCCTTCAGCTACCCAAAGATCCCTCAACTACCACCTGGCACCACCCAGCCCAGCTTTTCCTCCGCACCCGGCCAGCGGGAGAACCTTCCCCCAGCAGTACCCCGTTCCTAGACTTCCTTACCGGGTCGGCCAGCCTCAACATCCAGGGATGCCCCAACAGAATCAGCAGCAACAGCTCAGTCCTGCCTTCACCGGTGGAAGCCACGCTTCCTTCTTCAGCGGTTCCGTGGCCGCTCACCGATCCGTGCAATCGCCCACTGTGGACGGGGCGGAGTCTTCGGGGGCCGAGGAGATGAGCAGCACCGTTAGGACTCACATGGGCCACCAGGGGGCGCAACACCCAGGCCTACCGCAGCACAACAGGGTCAGCAACTTTGGGGAGGATGGACAAGATGGAAGTCTGGACGGTTTAGGTGGGTAAAAAAAAAAAAGCTTTAATGTCAGTGAAAAAACGTAAAATGCTTGTGCTTCAAAAGTAGTAGAATGTTAATGTGATATGTGAAAAAACTACCATGTGACTGGTTTGGTCAAAACTCAGGCAAAAACAAAATAGTGCATTAGGAAAAACAATAGATGCAACAGTCGAAGCGAAAAATAAAATGGTATTTGACCTTCATTTAAGTATTAAGTCTCAAATTTATGCATGTAAAATTAAGGCCTTTAAATATCTTATGTGAATTTAAAGAAATGTAAGACACAAAGCTTAGATGTCTGTCCACTTCCATACTGTGTTCAATGACTTGAGGCATTTGAGGTAAGCTGCAAATATAAACCTACTGGCTAGCTAGTTAGCAGGAGCTAAGTTGAAGCCAAAACTAGGCCATTTGAGAAGTGCTGGGTAGAAAATATTTACACAGCTTTTTTTTTATTATCTTAAATCTAAATGTCTGTATTTTTGTACAGTTTTGGCTTCATTACTGCTCTGACTATGATGCTCTTCCAGCAAGCCGCCTTCTTTTTTTGTCTCTCTGCTCCAGTTAACGATTAATCGATTACTAAATTAGTTCACTATTATTTCAACAATCAATTAATCACTTATTTGATTAATCATGTCATTCCTTGTTTTGAGTAAGATGTGATCGGCCTTTTTTACTAAATTGTTGTTTTTGAAATGCAAATAAATAATTGAAATTCATTGAGTCAGTGCTTTTCAAATGGCAACTTTAACCAATCCCACATTTTTTAACCTTTCAGACCTCCAGAGTCCCCTGACTTTAGAAGCCCTGAGCCAGCAGCAGCAGCAGGCGGCCAGACTGGGCCAGTGGGGGGAAGCAGCAGGCCCCTTCCTCCAGGGCAGTGTTGCCTTTCCTCTGCCCCAGCAGCTCGCCCACCTCGCTCAATCTGGCATGGCTCGCTTTCCCCCTCAGCTGCTCCGGGCTGCTACCTGGGGGCTTAGTGCCAATATGGACGACGAAGCCGTTTCCTCTGCTCCCGCGGGACCAGCATGCTCCAGGTTAGCCTTAGTCCTTAGTCTAGAAGGTGTTTTTTCGTCTTTTCTGTGTTTTATCTTTAAGTGTTGGTCATTTGAAATATCGGGTTTTTGTTGGATTGGACATCATCTTGAAGTCAAATTTCAACAAAAAAAAAAAAGTATTTCTGTCCCGTTGCTTTAAGGTACCCGGGCCTTTTGAGAGAGATGCCCCCACAGGAACAGCCGGAACCACGGGAAGCGACTGAATTGCAGCCGCCGCCTCAGTCCCGCCTGCTTCAGTACCGACAGTCCCAGACCCGTGCCTCTGGCGAGCCCTCGTCCTCCTTAGCCCCCCTGTCCAATCATGCTGGCCCCTTTCCTACAGGACTGTACTCCCACGAAACCGGCCGGAACCTCCTCAACGAAAACCTTCTCAACAACCCAGCTCTGCAGCAGCAGCAGCACCCGGGGAATCCCCTGTACAACGCCGGCAGCTACCCGAATCAGCCACCAGCGCAGTCCGGCGGCAGCAGCCCCCCACCATCGAACGTGAAGTATCTCCTGCAGGAAGCGCAGTGGCCCCATGGCGGAGCGTCGTCCGTGTCCCAGCAGAACCACCTCCTAGGGAACCAGAGTCATAGCCTTCTGTACGGACTGCCCCTGATGGCTCACCCCAGCAGGCCGGAGCAGGTGCTGATGCAACTCCACCACCAGCAGCAACAGCAGCAGCAGCAGCACCATCAACAGCAACAAAATCAAGGCCCGGACTCTGAGTCCTACCACCCTCTGTCCCCTAGAACATCAGCAGCCGCAGCCATCCACAGCGTAGATGAGGTACGCCTGCTTGGTTTGTTGTTTTGACATAAAGGTGCTGAATTAGTCTTTTATTTTATCATTTTGCATCAAATAAACACTTAAAACAATGGTGAAACACATAAAAATAACACAACTTCTTTTTTTATTTTTCTTTCTCAGAGCAATTAGGAGTAAAATAATAAATTAAAATTCAGTAAACTAAAAGCTTGACACCCTTGGTCAAATGTAAATTTTCAGAATATCAGGACCAATGCAAATATTAATACAGGATCGATACCCCTATACACGTTCTGTAGCTCTTTCTTCCCCTCTTTGAATAAGCTGCATGGTTTCTAGATGAGCTCTCCTGTCAGTGTCATGTCCAGGCAGATAAATATAACCTTCCTGCTCCTCCGTCCTTCTGTTCCCTCGCAGTATGAACCGAGAGGTCCAGGCCGGCCCCTCTATCAGCGCCGCATCTCCTCCAGCTACCCGGATGAATCATCTCCAGCCCACCCCTGTCATCCCGAGCCCCAGGATCACCCGCAGCAACCGCAAGGCTCCTACAGCTACCCCCCCCATGACCACCTCTGGCCCAGCAACGGCGGAGGTCCCGGTCCATTCCAGAACATTCCATGCAACGGAGCGAGCAAACTAGTTCAGCATCGTGAACTTCTAGGTGGGTGTGTGTGCGTGTGTGTGTGTAGGGCTGTTGTAAACAGTTATTTTAGTTGAATAAAAGATGCTATCGTAGCTACTTAAGCTAGGAAAAGAAACGCATGAAAGAGAAAATGCTAGTAAAGAACAATTTGGCTCCTTTTATTTTTTAAATTGGAAAACATTTTATTGCTTAAAGCTTAATCTTTCATATGATGTATGAAAAAGTCTTTTTTTTTAAAATTAAAATAGTTTCTGATTTTGTCACTGACGTAAGTTTTGATTTCTGTGCTTGAAAAGTCAAAAATTTGCAAAACGCAAAAAAAATGTTAAAAATTGAAATTAAAATCAGAAATTTTCTAAAAATAAAAAATAAAAAAAAGAAAATCAACAAATTTTTACTTATGACACTGGAAAATTTCCAAATTTTCAGACTAGAAAACTTAGGAGATTAATCAACATGTCAATCTTTTGCTGTCTATTTATTCCTCCTTTTTGTATCTACAAATAACCATGATTAGTTGTCATAGATTTTAGTTCTTGATTTCATTAGCAGCGCAAGTTTTCATTATCTTTTATCTTCTCCCTCCCGTAGCTTCAAAGGTCCATCGTCAGACTGACGAGCAGGTGAAGGCCGAACCGGCCGGCACGCCGCAGCAGGCGCATCCACACAACCTCAGCTCCCTTCAGCACCAGTTTCCCCCTCTAATGTCCAATAAGAAGCAGCAGCAGCAGCCGCCACCGCCGCCACCACAGCCTCCGACAGAGCCCACTCAGGGGGCTCCCAATTTAGTAAAGCCGCCCACCATGTCATACGCGAGCGCCCTCCGAGCGCCTCCCAAGCCGAGAGCCGTTCGACCCGAGCAGGCGAAGAAGAACAGCGACCCGCTGTCCCTCCTGCAGGAGCTGAGCATCGGAAGCTCAAACGGTAGCAATGGTTATTATTCTTACTTTAAATGAGAGCCGACGCTCCCGCGTCGTAAGTAAAGCGGAACAAAAAGAAAAAAGGCAAAAAAAATTGTAAAAGTTTTATAAAATTTATTTTAAAAAAATAGTGGAAAGTGCATTTTAAAGAATTGTTTGTAATAGTAGATTTTAGATTTTTCTTTTTTGTTTCTTTTCTCTTTTATTTTAACTTCTGGTTCTTTTCTCTCCTGACATATCTGTGAAGAAAGTCAGTATATATATAGCAAATGCATTACTGGTATATATATACATATTCATTATGTATATATGAATATATACTTATATTATCTACACTTGTACATGTACGTAATGCTTAGAAAACAAAAATACAAAAAAATAAAATAAGATGAAAGATAATTAAAAAAAAACGACTTATTTGACCATTTAGCTATCTGCTTAGTTTTCCTGCTTTAGTTGGTCTCTTTAACTATATTTTTAGTTCTTTTTTCTAACTCCTGTTTTTTTTTGTTTGTTTTTTTTAACAACCATTTGATTTTAAAGTGAACACTGACCGTTCACACCACTGCAGTTTGTTGTATTGCATGAAAGCTAAGTGGTCGACTGAGTGAAACCGAAAGGAACAATGTATAGAAGTAGATACATTTTTCCTCTAACCTGTACAGAAAAAGAAAATAAAAGACTGAACTGTATTCCACAAAAAGAAAAAACAAAAAAAACAAAAATCATATTAGTATTTGCATTATGAGGGTTTTTGTTTTGTTTTGTTTTGTTTTCAGCTTCTTTTTTCTTTTCGGTCCTTAGTCATCATTAACTTAAATAATCTGGTGATGTAGTGATTAATGTGATTATTTATAGAAAAAAAAAAACAACAACAAAAAAAAACTTTGCCAAGATCTCACCGGGGGAAGTGCGGTGTGCAGATGTCGGGACAGCTTTCATTCCTCCTCTGTCGGCTTCAAACGCAACACGTTTCTTTAGGCGGCAACATGAACTGCTCTGCTTCGATTTACTTTTACTGTTTTGTTGGGTTTTTTTTTCTTTGAGATAGTCTTTTAAATGTAAAATTGTTTCCCTGCTTTTGTTCGACCTCAATTTGGATTTTGTGTTACCTGGTTTGGAATAATCTGATGGTCTGTGGAAGTGAACTGAGAGTTGTTAAAACGTGCATCGTGGGATCATTACTTCCAGTCAGATGTTTTTGAACAACAAAAAATACCGGAGGAGTAAACCCGTGGCAAACAAAATCGGAAAATATCGCATCCCCTCACCAAACAAAAGAAAGAAAAAAGACACTTCCGCAGCCATTAACCGCAGTTTGAAATTTTATTCCTTATTTTTTTTTAATATCTGGATTTGGGGTGGTCTTAAAGGCATGAAGAAAATTGGTAGTGTTTAATTTTTTTTGCTTATGAGAAAGTAGATAATTTTATTAGCATTTTACAAACGTGTCTCAATTTTATGCATTGCTTCAATTTTTTATAAATGTAAAAATACAGCTACTTAAGAAATCAAAACTTTCAGTTACATATTTTATCTTTGTTTCACAACAAATGTTAAACACAACACTGCTAGCTAAAATTTTATTACTAGCTAAATCTTCAGCTAGCAGTTTTATTACTGGCTAATCTTCAGCTAGCAGTTTCATTTCTAGCTAAAGGTTCACTACTCTAGCTAGCAGCTAAGATGCTAGCTCAACTTAAGCTTGTGGTTTTATTGCTGGCTAAAGTTTCACTGCTTCACATAGCCGCTAGCAGTTATGCTAGCTTAACTTAAGATTGTGGTTTCACTGGCTGAGGTTTTTTTGGCTACAAGTTTTATAAAGAAAACATTTCTAAAATTAAAGCCAGCTATTGATTTAGTTTTTAAAGCAAAATTATTACTGTATATTTAGGCAAACTTAAAACAGGCGTGGGCCGGTATGCAGTGGTTTTAGTGCATCATTAAATTCAATGTAGAAATAAACAATATGATCTAATTATTTATATTTTTTAACAGAAAATCAGCAGTTTCTACTGCTGTTATAGTAATGTATTGCTGTAATGCTGTTACAGGCATAATGATGTGTTTTTTCACCCTTTTATACTTTTTTTTCCACCCCCTGCTATGAAATTACCTGCTTAAGGAGTTGAACTATCTGCCATGTTAGAGCACTTATTAAAAGGACGTTATGCTTTGAGAGCGGTATAATGGAACATCTTACCATTTTTAAACCAGAACATCCTAAAAATGCCAATTACTTCAATATCGGCAACAGTTTTTAACTTTTACATTTGCTTAAAAATTTCTGTCCAAAAACTAATTTCATTTTACCAAACGTGACACTGAACGATGAGAACAGCTTCGTTTAGCAGATTTTTATTTTGTTTCAGGAAGGTCATTTTAAGTTTTTCTTCCATTAGGAGATTCTGTGTTATTTTGGGGAAGAAATAGGGTTTCCGAGTTTGAGTTTTATTTCACAAAAATTTGTCCCCCCCCCGCAACACACACACACACACACACACACCCCCACACACACACACACACACACACACACACACACACACACACACACACACACAAAAAGAGAAGAGAGGTGGAGAGACTGAAGAAGTTTGTTCAAAAACCTTTGACTGTTGGTATGTTTTTATTAAGATCTGCATAATTGAACAAGAATGGTGATGTTATGGAAGTCATGATTTATAAAAACAAAAAAAAAACATACAAAAAACAATAGAGACGGCCCAGTTCTTTGATTTAATCAGATTTGTAAGTCAACTGCTCCAGCAGCTAATCGATCTTCTGAAAATTACTTTGATCGTTCTTCCTGCTCGCTCTGGAAAACCGCACCGCGTGGGAAGTTTTCGAGTTTATTTCGAATTTGAGTTTTCTGCACACAGATAAATTTAAGGAATCTCTTCACTGGTAATCGTGGCTTCATATTGTTGCAGTTAGTCTCTGATGTATTTCTTTTCTTTTGATTTAAAAAAAAAAAGAAAAAAAAAAAGCCTTACAGCCAGAAACGAAGATGTTTTAAGTGTTGAGCTCCGAATCCTTTTCAAGTTTTGACCTTTCAAATGACAGGATCCTGATCATTTTTTTATTTTTATTTAGCAGATAAAACACCTACTTGTAAATATACATTTTGTATGTATTTACAAATGAGAACTTTGGGAGCGCCTCGATTTTGTAGAAGCTGATCAATGAAGAGGTACGCCCTTTTTAATTATGCAAATTCACAAAAAAATAGAGAGAAAATCTAGAAACGGTAGTTGCATCACCTTGTAACTTTGCAGGTTTTTCTTTTCATTTTCCTCTTTTTTCTTCTTTTTTTTTCAAGAAGCTGCCCGGCTTCTTTAGCAGAGGAGAATTTCTGTTGCGCCTTTTTAAGATGACCTGATTTACTGTACAATATGTATTTTTTAAGTACACCTTGCTGGATTCGTCCTGTCATGTTTTCTCACCACAGCTGTACAACAATCAACACCTGGATTCATACGTCGATGTTTAGTCTGTTTTTGTTTTTTTGGGTTTTTTTTTTTGCTTGTTTTATTGCATGTTGCGATGACCTTGTTGGGTTTTGATCCTCCGTTCCTATCGGTTTGTAATGATTTCTGGATGAAAAACGGTAAAGGAAAAAAAATACATGTTTTTGTTTTCAACCTGCAGAGTTAAATTTTTGGTATTTTTCTTTGACGTGTACAAATAACTTGTGACATACATAAAACTGTTACTTTTACTAATGTGTCGATCAAAAAAAAAAAAACAATTGAATGGTCATATATGTTTCCCCACCTTCCTTTTTCTTCCTCCTACAGTCTGAAGGGCTAAAGCTGAGGTTGCTCCCTGGGGATCGTGCGGGGAGCCCATTTTTTAATTTAATTTTTTTTTTTTCTCTTTTGTTTTAAAGTCATCGGCTAATCTCTAAAGTTGTGCAATACTAATAATTCAACGCTTTTTTTTCTGCTTTTTTTTTTTTTTAGCTACAGTTCTATTTATTAAGACAGAAGAGATTGAGCCAAAGACATTTTAAAGGGATTTTGTTAGCAGTTTTTTTTGTTTTGTTTTCCTGATTTCTAATATTTCAATTCTTTGCTCTGTGTGTACCTCGTTAGCACGATGACGTAATCTGAGTTGGATTTGAAAGCTCCCAACATTACACCACATTTCATGGTATGTTCTAGATGTGAAACCAGCTGTAAAGTGTGCGTGCGAGTGGCTCACAATTTAAAAAAAACACAAAAAAACGACAAAAAAAGAGAGAGAGAGAGAGAGAGAGGCAAAGGGCACCTTTTGCCCGGCCAGCAGAGAGCACTGTGTTCAGCCTCCTATAAGCGCCGTCTTCTCCTGTTATCTGTTGGGCCTCCTCTGTTCTCCCCCCGCTGCAGTGAATCAATGGCACACCTGTTCCTCCCTGCTTTCCAGCCCCCATCGGTTTCTCCCTCGTGGGTTCAAAGTAATGAATATTCATTTCAACTGGTGGTTGTTATGAGAACTGATTTAGGCTGTGTTTTAAAGGTTTTCTTTTCTTTTTTTAATTGTTTCTCTATTAAAGTGTTTTTATTGAAACTGCTCGAGTGGTCTCGCTCTTTTTCCTCCTTCTTCTCACTCTTTCTGTGCAGAACGAGGCAACATAAAGGCGCCTTTGTGCTCCGGTTGCGTCACGCGAGACGTAAAGCCGTTTGTAACAACTGTGTTGCCTTCGCAGTTGTTACAAAAGTACTGTATATGTCAGATATGACGTGACAGAAATTTGATTTTGTAATTAAATGCTTTGAAATTGGGCCCCTGTCTCTTTAAGAAACTCCTGCTCTTTCTGAAACTGCCTTCAGGAAGTCCTCACAACGTCGCTCCTCTATTGACTCTTTAACAATGTTTTTACCAGCGTTGCAGGGAAAGGTAGTTCGTATCATGAGCTCAGTAGATGTGCAGCTTCAACGGGTATTTGCTAATTGCTGCTGACTAGTCTGAAGGAGCGGAGTGGACGGGCGCGCTGATTGAGAAGGTTGGAAACCGCCGATCCAAGGAGAAACTGCGTCTCAAAGGCTGAATACACGATTTTGTGTTGCTTCCTCATTTTCCTTCATTTTGATCATTTGAAGCAAAAAATGCAAATTCCAGTTTTCTTTTTTTTTTTTATTTTTTTAGAAGAAGAATCCTGAAACATCCAATGCCTTTTAGATGTGCAACAGCAAATCCGGGTCTGAAAGAACTCTCATCCGAACCAATTGATACAAAATTTGTCAATTTTTATTTTCTTTATTTCCTTAGAAATTTGTAACGAGTAAGAAATACAGAATCAACGCCATTCCAAAGCTTATTCAACTGCATGCTATATAGAGAAAAGGAAACGTATCACATTATGGCAACATTTACCCCAAAATGTAACCGTTTTATTTCATAACGCAGCAGCAGCAGCAACAATTTAGAGAACTAACATCATCCAAACACGTTCATGTCTTAAGCAAAGATTATTAAGAGAGCGACAAACAGAAGTACATCTTACTGAAAATAACTACATTTTTTTTGCCCTGAGCAAGGTTGAGATTCTGGTTGTCGCAGCTCTGACAGAACGATGTAGTCCGGTCTGACTTGACACCGGAGTTCTGTATAAAAGGTTAAGTTCACATTCACACTGTTCACCATGTGATCCCAAAGCACTTCCAGTGTGAAGTCAAGCAAAGTCGAAACAAATGGAGAGGCTTTCTCAGTCACACCGTCCACATCGTCTGTGCAAGTTTCCAGTTACATTTCTTGAAGTTTTGTGTTCTTAAAAAAACGAAATAAACCAGTTTTCTTTTTTCCCCACCCACGGCTTTTTACTAAATCTTCCCTCGAAAGGATACGACACCGAACAATCTGGGTTGACGTTAAACAGATTGACATTACATTACCTGTGAACAATTTCTTCTTGGAAAACTGGTTGGAAAATGTTTAATCTGAATGGTATCAAGCTGCTGGCTTGTCACACTCTGACAATTTGTTTATCCTATTAAACACAAATAGGATATGAAATCTTGACTGCTGCACTTAGGAGAACATCACTAATAATTTCACTGACCTACACTTCAAAACATCCAAGGCGTCACTTACAGCTCTTAATATAATCTGCTGGGGGGGAGGGGGTTGTTTTTTTGTTTTTTTTACAAAACCAACCCAGCAGACATTATATAAATATAAATACCGTACATCTGAACTGCTAAGAAGGTTAATCTTGTTTAGGAGAAATAAAACTTTATTGATTTTGCCCACGTCGTGGCTCAGTCAAAGGCCTTGTATGTATGCACAGTGCACCTGCTAAAACTGAACCTTTTCCAACATGGCAGGCTGTGGGAGTGTTTAGCATTCAGTCTGACACACACTCACACACACACACACACACGCTAGAAAACTTCTTGGCTTCAGCTTATTTTTCTCTATCTTTAAAGCTTCTTTGAATAATCCTTCAGATGCCTGTTTGACATTATTAATGCCGACGCCATTAAAAATACACACACCTTCCTGTAAAGGTGTACATTATGTGGCGCTGAAATGATGGTTAGTGTGACGTCAGACTTGTACTAGAAAATCCTTAGGGCCGTTTTTGTGTAAAAGAAACATACATGGCAGTAAGACCATGGTCACATTAACAATGATTCATGGCTGTAATTGAGAAAAACAAACAAACAAACAGGATGTTGGTAAACGATGAGCTGTACACAAAAACAACAAAAAAACAGCATGTGAATTATGTTTCCGGTTGTGTTCACTCTGGTCGCGCATACAGGGGTCAGGAAAACACATCAGCCTCCTCACATTCAACTGCTGCGATGCGCAAACACCAACACACTTTTTTAAATTATTTTTTTAAACTGGAAAACATTGAAAAAGAGATTCACGGCCGCGTTCGGTCGGCCGGCCGGCATCACTCGACTTGCTCCGGCTCGGCGTCCATGCACGTCTCCCAGGGGTTCTGGGGCATCCGGGGCATGGAGAAGACGAGGAGCGCGATGCCGGCCACGAAGAGGAGGACGAAGCCAGAGCAGGCGCAGGCGAAGGACCAGGCGTAGTAGTACTCGATCCAAATGGTGTCCTCGCTCTCGATCATGCGCTTCACCGACTGACGCATCACCTCCAGCGAGATGAAAGCGCAGATGCCTGAAGGCAGAGAGGCAGCAGCAGGGTGTGAGCGGGGGGGAGTGCGGACCGGGGAGGCCGGCTGGGGGGCGAGCGGAACTGACCTGCGAACGCGAAGAACATCCCGGCGGGTTTCAGAAGGTAGTCCCTTCCTTTGCCTTTGCCGGTGCACGACCCGAGCAGACACAGAGAGCCCAGGATCATGAAGGCCAGGCTGAAAATGGAGATGGCTGCGGCGGAAATGTTGTACTCTGGAAGGAAAAATAAATAAGAATGACAAAAATAAAGTTCAAATATAAACAAACAGCTTCAGAAGCTCATAAGAGAAAAAGGCATGGAGAGAATGTAGAGTAAGAGGAAAACATACTGATGTCCAGACTGTTCTGTGTTCAGACTGTCATGAAAAGGTCAAACACAGGTCGCGTTACGTCAAAAATCAGAATTGGGTCACATCTACCTACCTACTTATCTATATATGGCAGGAGTTTGTCTTTTATTTCACATGAACGTAAACTTTGTCATGACAGATTGTGTCATTTATTTAATCATCATGTTTCAGAAGATGCTTCACTGGCAACATTTTTGGCCGAATCATTTATTTTATGTCAATTGCCTGTTCATGGATTTTTATCGACTGTAAAAAGAGCAACACACAGACCTTCGCTCAAAGTCTCAAAGGCAATAATCTTGTCAAATTTACCGACATATATTTGCTTTACTTTCATGTTCGCAGATTCCATGTGTGGGAAGGAAACAGCAGCTGGTTTGTATTTTGCTGGTTATGATCGGGAGCGTTTGATCTGCCGCCTGTTTGCCTGATAACCATCCCATCGGGGGGCTGGGGGGGCAGGGGAGGCTCCTTTGGGGGCCAAGAACCTCCATCTTGTGCTGGCGGGAGACGACGGCCGCCACACCTTGAGCATTCTGGGCTTTGAGGTAGTTAGTGCGTCTCTACTGTGCAACTTCATTTGTATTTTACGTGAAATCTGTATTTATAAAAACTGTTTAATGTAAGTGTGACACAGGCAGACCGTAGTTAACTTAGTTTGTGCTCCAAGGAAGACTGGAGCAGCTCATAAGGGCTCTTATGAAAAATCATTTTCATATCTTCAGCAAAGTTTGGCGTTTCCGCTGCCTGGCACATTGCAGATGCATCGCCGTTCCAGAAGCGCCTGATTCAAATGACTGGACAGGACAGAGGTACCTGAGGATGGAGCAGCACCGGCCTAGAGTCACTGGCCATGCAGGAAGTCTGTGAATCGGATGGGAACACTGGAGGAGGATAACTATCATCGCACACTACAAATCTGACGTCACGACAAGAAGGCAAGGCCACAAGTCGGGTAGGAAATGCGCTGAGCGTTTAGAAAGAAAACCCAGTTTTGTTGCGATATCTCGTGGCATCGATTCATCACTGCTTTTTTCGGTAACTGTATGACTGACTGTGGCCCGCATCTTTAGGACAGCAGACACATAATGAAGTGGGATTTGAATCATTAAACTGCAAACATATCTTCACACTTATTGACAATTATTGATGCTTTCCTTGAACAGACAGTGGAGAATGGAGTAAAAATCACAATTTTGACAATACAGTTTGGTTCCTTCTTTAAAAACATTAGCTGAAATTCATCATGACGAGGATTAATATCAAGATAAGGAATGCATCGTGATATTTGATAAATGACGTCCTTTTTTCCTTTGGTAACTGGCTGACGTGTCTGTTAAATCATTTCTCTGCACGTCTGATGTAATCTAATTTTCTGCTCACTGAATTTTTAGCTGTAAGCAGCAATTACCGAAATTTGAAATATTTCACAGCGTGTGTCCAGTGAATCTAATTAATAAACGAGTTCCACTTTTTGAGCCAAACTGCAGAAACAAATGACACTTTCAAAAATATTCTGATTTGTTGAGCTGTGTATGTGTGTGTGCATGTCCACACACACACCCACACACGCAGACACACACTGACACACACGACTGTTTCAGTGGCTCACATTTTCAAAACTGTTTTTGGTTGGACCGTTTTTGATGTGACACAAGATGTTATATATTCACCAAACAAATCCGTTTTTTGTGCCTTTTAGCGTTTAGACAAGATGGAGTGACATGACCTTCAAGCAGAGAACGCTTAGAGAACAACGTACCTTTTTGTGTTTTGTATTCAAATATCTCTGCATCTTGTCCTGGATTGAAGTGTCTGAAGTAAGTGCAGTTTTCGTCTGTGAAAAGAGAGGGAGGAGAAAGATTTCAGTGTCAAGCCCTGCAAGGCGCAATAGCTTCAAAAATGTTTAAAGGACATGTATAACTATCTAAAGGAACCGTTAAATCTAACGCATTAGTGTGAAGATGTCTGATTTACACTTAGAAGGTCATTAAAATACAAGTCCTAATTGCTTCGCCTTTTGGGAAAAAGCTAAATGTCTTTGCGTCATAAATCGAAACACAAACATGTAAATAATAAATTTCAGCCTAAATAATCAGTCGTGCGGCTGAGAAAGTCAAAATGTTTCTCGCATCAGAGAGAAGATTCAATGCGATGATTAACGACTTCTCCTCCTGAACTGTTTCTCTGACCTCGGGTGTGCCGCAGGGCTCCGTCCTCGTACCCGTGATGTTCTCCCTGCACAGGTGAGCGGCAAACACAACCTCCAGTTTTGTTTGTGTGCAGATGATGCACAGGTCTATTTGCCAAGTTGTTCACAACAGCACGAACACATCAGAATCTGTGCCACGCGGTTTTAAGAAGACACATTTTCTGCACCTGAATGAGAATAAAACGTTCTATGTTTGACTAAGATTTTGAAACTAGTGAGTGAAGTAAACCATGGGAAAAATATTAACTAATAAAACATTTTTTTTAATTGTTACTGCAGTTTCTATTGGACTGATGCTTTGTTTAGACACGTCTCTTTATTTCTTCCTGTGCCGCACCGCTGAACCTTTTCACACCCCCACTGAAGTCTTGCCCCGCATCTTCTCTCACCGTTACGGGAAACCCTCCTGCTGAGCACCTCGTGAACGTCCGGCCTGCCTCACAACACTTCACACCCTCTCCCATTTGTCACATTTACGCTCTAAGAGCATCTTAAAATTGACACCCTTTGGATAACGGCAGCAGTTAAAAACTGGTTCCCGTTCAGAAACGCGCTCGGCTTAAACAAAGCAGCTGTGGTTGCAGCACAAATCGCGGCTGCGTTTTTCTCCTGCAGATGACGTGCTAAAGCTTGGGGACTTGTTTGAGTGAAAGAGGAGTTTCTCAATGTGCCCATGAAGGGACTTGGCAGAGGAAAGGTTCTTTGTTGTTGAGCCAGGTCTATAAAATATTGAATCCATGTTTAGGAGAAGTCTGGAATCAATATCAAATCTAGAACACGTCTTACTTTTATCGCTCACTTTGGATGCATATGATGGGAGCCAAGGCCGTTTATCACACATCCTAGGACTGTACATGCCACGTGAGCTTTAGACAGAAAGTATTAAATAATGAAAAAGCTGCTTGAAATATCACGCTATTAAAGGATTAATCTCAGTCAGTGTAAAAAATAAATGAATAAAAATCAGCCCTCACTTAGTGAGAAATAAATGCTGTTGTGTGGAAATGTGCAAAAAAAGGAGCTTACTTATACTTTAATATAACAAGTGCTTAATTTTCCATGCTATGAAAACGTCAACGTGTTAAAACAGGCTGAAATCTGAAACCACGTAAAATATTTGCACAAACTGTCGTATTTGCAGAGGGGGAAAAAAAAAAGAGCTTCCCAAAGCCAGCTTTCACTGCGGTGCACCGCGCTGTGTGGGCCCGCGTATAAATAAAGATGTTTTTATGAATGAGAACAGGGACCGGCCATAAAGAGAAGGAAGATCGAAAGATGGTTACCAAGCAACAAGCCCCCTCTGTTTTCACTGTTGACGGCACATAAGAGGTGAAATAGAGGCTTGTCAACGAGTTATACCTCTGAGTCGAAGCTGACGGAGAAATGAAAGGCCTCCAAATCACCCGAGTCTCGGAAAATTGTTCTTTATTTTCCTGTCATGAAAAGGCGATCAAAGCTGTTATTGTTATTATTTTAAGATTGTGACCAGACAAGAAAGTTCAAATCCAGCCAGGGCCGTACACAGACATTATGGGGGTTAAGGCGGTAAAGGATTAAAAATAAGGGGCCGCCTTAGTAATGTTTGATTTATTATGGGCATAGACCACACTGTAAGAAAAAAAGGGAACCTTTTTGTTGAGAGGGCAAAGGTTGCATTGCTCTCGCACCAAACTGTCAACATTACTGCACAAGATTTATCTGAAAAGTTTAACGCGTTAACTTGACCAGGTGACCTGACAGCCAGTCAACACGCCGGACCCGACGGTGATGGCAGCGACAAAAGTAGGAACATTTCTCAGCTTTCCTGTGTTGTGTTGCTAGCTGTCTGCGTGTAATGCAAGCACGTTGTAGTTAACATTCCTAAATTAACCTTAGAAACAAAACGACTTCTTTTAAATTCTTTTGACAATGAAAACTGAGACTCGTCAGACCATTTGATTTGAGAAAACAGAACATTTTCTGAAATATTGTTTGAAAACTTGCCTATTTACATGTCAGGCTCACAAAGTTAAGCATCGTGATTAAATGTGATTTTTTTAAAAAAATCAATTAACAGCACAAAGACAATAAATAGTATTTGTCCCTAATTTTTAAGCTGGGGCACGTAGCAATCTGACGCTGGAACACAAGAAAGTTGAAAAATGTTTTATTGTTGGTGTCTCTATCACGTCCAGTGTGTTGAGTTCACCCCGAGTGGCTTTTAGGTCATATCAGGTCATTTGATTATGCAATATTAACACGTTTCTGTTAAGCTGATACTCAAATTGTTAATTAGCTGCATGGAGTTTTTCATGGGACAATTCAAAGTTTAAGGTGGGTGATGCGTGTTGACACTATCTGTCCCAAGCTTTTTACTTTTGCTCTCATTTTACACTTTTTCAGCAACTATGGCAAATATGAAGACGGACACATTTCAAAACCTTTGACTCTGTAATTGTCTGTGGAAAATGATTGGGGCCCCTCAGTGCCACTCTGACTCTGTGTTCTCTCTATTATTGGCCCTTGTCCTGCTGGCTGTGCTGACATGTTGTGTGACACCTTTCTTGTTCTAAATAGGGCGGTCTGTCATGTTTCCAAGGATCAGGTGAGGACGCCGGTTTTAGCGTCTCCGCACGCTGTCATGTTGTTTCCCCGTCTTTTTTTTTTTTTTTTTATGCGTGCCATCGATTCACTTCCCAATGACCACAGCCAGAGTCCTAAGATAATCCAAATGTTGTTAATTTTGCAAAGCCAAAAACTCGGCAGATGAAGTACAAAGACGTTGCAGCCGTTCTGTCGCCTATTTGACGGGCTGGTTATAAACCTGGGTGTGTTTAAGAGCAAAATAGCATCGATTCCCAGTCATTTTTGGAATATACCACCCATCCCGGTGCAGTGACAAGTAATTTGAGTCCTGCAAGGAGACGTGGGGCTGTGGTGAGGTCTTGAGGGAAGGGTTTAATGGTCCTGCGGGTCTTAGAGTTATGCCAGACTCTGCCATGAGGCCCTGTCACTCAGGGAATCCACAGGCTTGTGCATGAACACTTGACCCCCATGGCTCTGCCCCAGCACAGCTGAGTATTTACATGCCTTATTTTTGTAGCTAGCAGCAGTGTTTCGCTGCGTGCAATATCGAATAAATCGCACGCTTCCTATTTCTGGAACGTCTCAGATAGTTATTGTATTGGCCCTCTTGCAACACCGCAGCCACGGAAAACTGCCAAAGTCCCGGCCTGAGCGTTCATCAGGCAGAAACGGTTTGCTGGTTGAGAGCTGGACGAAATATCCATTGTTGCCCATTTATAACCATTTGTGAATAGCGATTAAACTGGAGACGATAGTCAGAGTAAAGTTTTCTATGGATTCGAAGAAACAAGTCACCCTCAGTTCTTTGTCTGCTAAGAACGAGGCAGACCCTCACTTTCTCCTCGCCAAATGCTTGATCCTGCTTGATCAATGACTTCCCTCGCCAAATCCTGCCAGCGGGGAAAATCCACGCTATCTAATGGGACATTTTCATATTCAGAAAAATGATTTTTTCTGTTGTCATCAGCCTGTGATGCGTGATATTTTTGTTACATGTTGAGCATCTCCTGTCCGTCTCATTCCAGTCGCAGCAGGAACCTCCACGGACTTTGATCTTTGACCTCAGATTTCAGTGGCAGTTCAAGATTTTGTTAAAGTTAGCGTTGACAAAAATAAAGCCAAAATAAAGTATCATTTTCTTTACGTGTCTCATGAAGAAACATCATTTGATCATATTCTTTTGTTTGACACTCCAAGCTGTTGCTTTTTTGGTCTATTTCTTTTTAGTAAAAAAAAACAAAACAAACAACAAAAAGAAACAAATGTCTATTTTGTAAAATAATAATTTAAAAAAAGAAGCGCAAAACTGCTTTTATCTTCTGTTTCTTAAAGTGCTTTTTAACTCTTTGGAGAATAATTAGCTCAGTTTGAGTGAGATTGTTTGGTTTGTTAATTAATCTTATTTATTTACACAATTATTGTAGCAAAATTAATTACATGCCACAGTAGCGAACTGCTGCCTCTCATAAATAATCAACATCATTAGTTACAGCTCAAAAGTGATAGTTTGAAACAGAAAACGAGAATAAAAAAAAAAAAACTAGATTCTTTATGCCACGTTAGTCAGCCATATTGATATACCAAAACAGAGTGACTGATCAATAGATTTAAAATCAATTATCTCAAAGGTTATTGGTTTCATCTCTGGTTTGCATTGGGATCTGCTTGTCTGAACAAATGCAGCTGATTAGTCTAAATGAATTTGGAGCTCATTGGGTCTCGTCAACAAAACCTCGGTCTTCCAGAATACATGTTCACACTGCATAATGACATTATTGTACATCTTTCTGCAGGTTATTTCCTGCTCGTTCTTGTATATTTCATGCGCGTCTGTGGCAGGAATCCATGTGATAATCTGGACTAAACTAATCTGAGTCTGTTGAAAACAAATTCAACCTCATTTCCAGTTTTTTGTCGTCTCATTGTTTTTCTGCGCAGCTTTATGATGATCACATTCATTTGTTGTTGTTTTTTTTACTGTGAACAGATGTTCTCCTAATTGCGCCCAACCTCTGCAGGTAAAAACTCCGGAATACCAAAACGTGTGCCGCCCATCGCCGCCGTCCGGAGTGCTCAAAGTGTGCGAGTGCGGGTCAAATTATTGAGAAAATCCGGCTCGTCTGCGCCAGTGAAGTGCCTCGGGCGTTTCAGCTGTTCCTGAAAGAGACCTCCGGTGCAGACAGAGTGCAGGCATCCCAATCGCCGCAGTCAGTCAAGAATTAGCTTAACTTTTTGAGTAGAAGGGATTTGGACGGGTGTCTACGATCGTGTCCTGAAAAGCTGACAGTAAAACAAAAACAAATGTCTAACAGCTGCGTGACATAGAGTCTGATAAGAGCTGCTCATATAATGGCTGACATTGGGGGGAGGGCATGTACTTATACTTATTGTACTTATAAATGCAAGCAATTTTGAATAAATACGCACTATAAATAGGGCTATTCTAACCCCACCTGAGGACATCTGTGTTTCATACTGTAAGGCTTTAATCGGTGCTTGTATTGCTTGAAGAATGATAATTTAACTGCACTTTCAATTGAAAATTACATTTCAATTGAAATAAAGTCTTCACACTCATGTCGTTTGCAGAGGTCAGCACCCTCTTCGGTTCCAACATAATTAGTTATGATCCACATAATCTAAACCCTGCTGTGTTTTTGTTTTTTTGTTGTTGTTTTTTTGTTCTCTTTTACCACAAAAGCAGTAGGAAGAAGCATATCAGCTGTTAATATAATAATAATGTAACAATAATGTACAACGTTGTGGAGAAAGTATTTGGCCTATTTCTTGTTTTTGCTGCTTTTTTTCCTCAAGCTTTAATGTATCAGAACAACAACCACATTCTCATGGATGTGGGTTTGGTCTGGAGGACTCTTTATCCTCGGTAAGGAAAATCAGCAACTTTGTCTAATAATATTATGTTTGAGATCCGTAATATCACGCTGCAACAAGGAGAAAGAAACGGAAAAACCTTCAAGGGGTTAACACTTTTTAAAATCACTGCAGAAAAAAAAAAATCACTCGTATATTAGAGAGCTGGCAACAATTTGAAGATGTTTTCTTATAAAAAACAAACAAAAAACTATTTTTTCCACTTCAACCAAATCAAACAGCAACATAAATGATGTGTGCAAGAAGTTGTTTTTGATCCAAATTACTAATTACCTTCAGCAGTTATTAATAGTCAGCTAAACCAGACTATTGGTGCACAGCACTATGATGGTCATGTTCATTTGTTTTTACTGTGAATGAATGTTACTATAATCACGCGCAACTTTTGTAGAGAAAAACTGCGGAATCCAACATATGAGCTCAACATGTACATTAAATACTCTTAAATCAATATTTATCATATCAATACTAATGTAAACGCTTTGCACATCTGAAGCACAGTGAAAAACAATTTGTTCCCCTTAAAAAAAAACCGGCAGTAAAACCTATTGGTGGTCGTCAAACTTCACATCAAGTCTTGGGGTCTCATTCGTCTCTGAATGCATGCGTGGATGCAGGCGGACCAGAGACGGCTTCTAAAGTAGATTGTAGCGCATGGCATTCTGGGTAATGCCATACGCGCGCTCTCACCAACAACGTGGCTCTTGTGGGAAATGTGACATGACGTCTCACTACCGGGTCTTTTTCCAAGTACAAAAGAGAAATCCTACAACCGTTCAAATCTGACGCCACTCCAGGTTGTTTACATTTTGTACAGAGGGAAGTTGCGCTCATGTCTTCGGAAATTTTCGTGTCGTTTCCCCTCGGTGGTTCCGTTGCAGCGCCACCGCAGGCAAGGAGGGGAACAGGTTTTTCAAAGGAATGAAAGTGAGCAGCATCGGCTGGCGATGTAACAAATGTCGCCGTTTTGGCCCGCAATCGAAGCCTACAAACCATCAGGTGCGAAGACACCTCGAGATACTGTGTGCTTACTTTGTTTCTACAACAGAATTATTCTTATTATTTTCGTAACAAAAGAGATACAATTTTCAGTATCTCAAAAAATATCTCCAAAGTTTGGAAACCCCTGGACGTCACGCGACTTCCTGTGTTGGGGCCTCTATTCTTAGTAGCTTCATTCTTAACAGCTGTGGTGCAAAAAGCTGCAGCTGCACTTTGTGGGGCTAAATTGTTCGACACGTTCAGAAACCCAAACTTTTACGATTGGTTTCGATTTTACTGATGAGTTAGAAAGTGTTTTGCGAGGATTTCTTTCGTCTTACCTCCAGGCAGGCTGATCGGTCCGCAGCCATGCCCTGTCTCGTAGTCGTGCTCGGTGATGTAGATGTGCTTCTTGCACAGCCTCCAAAGGCCGAAGTGTGCCGCCTCGCAGGTCTCATTGGGCCTCAGCACCTTTGGGCTGAGCACTGCCCAGTGGTCCGTAACCACCGCCGTGAACATGCACGCCATACCCACCACCAGCACGAAGATGGCGATCTTTATCTTGGTGCGCTTGTGCATGTTTCCCAGTTGGTGCGACTTCTAAGTCGGTTCTCAACAGCAACAAAAGATAAGTGAGACTCGATGTTCCGATCTGAAACTCTTGAGACCTCTTCCCCTCGGCGGGCCCTTGTAAGTTCTCAGGGGGAAAAAACGTCGTCGTCCTTCCCCTCTCTCCACCCGGGACGAATGTCTTCTCTCTTGCTGCCGCAAATCTGCGCTTCTGGTTCGAAGGGAAGGGGGCCAGACTCCTCCGTCCTACTTTCATGCCCCTCTTTCCCCTCACACTGTGAGCCGCCGCTCTACGGACGCCTCACAAAGTCAGCTGTTGGGGTAGATCAGAGAAGTTGATGACCAGACTGTCTGCCATGCTGGGCAATGGGTGTGTTTCTCAGGGTGTCGTATGCTATAAATGACCATTGAGTCAGGCTGTGTGCTTATCCTATTACAGTATCGCTGTGTTGAGATTAGCAAAGTGCCATTATAAGAGTGTTCGCGTAACGCCTTTATTTAAAATAATGCAAGCTGAATTTTAAAGAAGTACCTTCAGCAGCGTATCAAATAGTCTCCGTCTTGTTCATTTAATTGCCATGTGACATTGTTGAGTCAAAGCTCTGTGACGTCTTTGCATGGATTTGTCTCTTTGTGCCATATTTATAAGAAGAAAGTGTTTGCGTCTATAATGAGCTGTGACTGAAAACAGGAACACTCCCCACATGCGAGAGCAGCACACTTTGAAATTGATACTAGAAAATTCCTGAAGAAATTTAACCGGGGCCTGCCAAAGTGTGCCCGTCGATTTGGATCCAGCGTTCTGATGCTAAACATTAGCATCCATGCTAAAGAAAGCTGCAATGTCATCAATACAATGTGGAGAGTCACAAGCATGACTGACTGCATTCAGTATACTAAATATGGGTAATAAGTAAGGGAAATAGCTAATACCTCATGCAAGGTAAAAGGCTAATTCTAATGCTCTGCCTTGCTCTGCAAGGCAGAGCCTTAACCTGAGTGGAAAAGATCAGCAGGATAATCTTATTGCACTGTCTATGTCAGTGCACTGGTGGGGAACAGAGAAATGCTAATGTTTGTGCTAATGCTAATGCACTGCCTTGCTGCGCAAGACAGTGCCCTAACTTGAGAGGGAAAGATAATGCAAGCTAATATTATTGCAGCACCTGCAGCGCTGCATTAGCCACGGCCGCATCTTAAGGCTTTTATTTTGAAATGTTCAAAATGTTTAATTTTAAATGGTCAATGTAATCCCATGTATAACAGTGATTTGGTTAAATCAGACATATAATGGTCAAAAGAGCACTTATTTAATCTAAAAATTCTCAAGGCTTTTATTTTGAAATTTTTTTAAGCTTAATTTAAAATTTCCACACTAATTCTATGTGTAACAATGGTTGGTTAAAAATAGTTATAAAAGGCCCAAAACACAAGCAGTTCTAAAGTCCAGCTTTTTTCTCTGAACTGACAGTTCCGCCATGTTGTAGTTCTGACAATCAGCTCTGACCTCTTTTGTAGGCACTGAGTGTTCCGCCATGTTGTAGTTCTGACCTTCAGGAATTGTAGTTCTAAAGAGGAGGTCAACTGTCAAGTCAGTGTGACACACAAGGAGAGACTTAATTATAAATTTTTGAAGAAGTTAGTTTTTCTGACAGGCCTGAGAGAAATATTCAAGGTTTTATTTTGAAATTTTCATTCAACTTAATTTAAAATTTCCACACAAATACTGTGTGTAACAATGGTTGCTTAAAATCAGTTATAAAAAGCCCAAACACAATGTAATTCTAAAGGCCAGCTCATTCCTCCTCAGCAGTAACTGACAGTTCCACCATGTTGTAGTTTTTATATTGACCTATGACCTCTTCTGTAGGCACTGAGTGTTCTGCCATGTTGTAGTTCTCACCTTCAGGAATTGTAGTTCTAAAGAAGAGGTCAACTGTCATGTCAGTGTGACACACAAGGAGAGGCTTAATTGTAAATGCTTGAAGAAGTTAGTTTTTCTGAAAGGCCTGAGGGAAATCTTCCAGCTTTTATTTTGAAATTTTCATTCAACTTAATTTAAAATTTCCACACAAATACTGTGTGTAACAATGGTTGCTAAAAATCAGTTATAAAAAGCCCAAACACAATGTAATTCTAAAGGCCAGCTCATTCCTCCTCAGTAGTAACTGACAGTTCCGCCATGTTGTAGTTCTGACAATCAGCTCTGACCTCTTCTGTAGGCACTGAGTGTTCCGCCATGTTGTAGTTCTAACCTTCAGGAATTGTAGTTCTAAAGAGGTCAACTGTCATGTGTGTGAGGCAGAGACAGATTTCTATCTTTGTGAGACAGCTCAGTCAGTTATAATGGAAAAAGCAGCCCGAACAACTCCTTGCCGTTCGGAAACCGTGATACGTATCGGAAAACCGTTTGAAGCGTATGAGAGAGCGATTTTTTGTCTCCGATAGTCCTGCAAATCATATCTGTAGCTCATTCATAGTAATTACAGCGATGAGAGAAAAATGGTGTGTGCTGAGGTCTGAAATTTTCCATGAAATTATGAAAATATATGGTGGAGAGCGTCAGTTAGGCTGGAACTTGATTTTGCTCTAAAGCACCTTGACAGAAAACCGTAAGCCCTAGAAAAAATTTGAAAACATTTTACCGGAGCAGACATACGTATCGATGTCATGTCCGAGTTTCATACCGATTGCACGATATTTGTGGGCGTGACAGCGATTACAAAATTTATTTGGGGTCAGAATGGCACTGCTTCCCACACTCTAACGAAACGTCAGTTACACTCTAGGTTTTGGCAGTTGAGCTTTTTGGTTCGGCAGTTGGAAATTTTGCTCGTTTTTTGCTTTTTACGTCGCCGTCATAACGCCGATTCCCCATAAAAGTAATAGCTCCAATGCCGGGAACAAGCCGCACGTTTTGATACCACTTTTGTGGGTTGGCTCGCAGCGGTGCGAGCCGCATTCCGGTCTACGGAAGAAGAAATAATAACTAGAAAATTCCTGAAGAAATTTAACCGGGGCCTGCCAAAGTGTGCCCGTCGATTTTGACCCAGCGTTCTGATGCTAAACATTAGCATCCATGCTAAAGAAAGCTGCAATGTCATCAATTCCATGTGGAGAGTCACAAGCATGTATAGTAAATATGGGTAATAAGTAAGGGAAATAGCTAATACCTCATGCAAGGTAAAAGGCTAATGCTAATGCTCTGCCTTGCTGCGCAAGGCAGAGCCCTAACCTGAGTGGAAAAGATCATGCAGGATAATCTTATTGCACTGCCTACGGCAGTGCACTGATGGGGAACAGAGAAATGCTAATATTTGTGCTAATGCTAATGCACTGTCTTGCTGCGCAAGGCAGAGTCCTAACCTGAGTGGAAAGGATCATGCAGGATAATCTTATTGCACTGCCTATGGCAGTGCACTGGTGGGAAAAAGAGAAATGCTAATGTTTGTGCTAATGCTAATGCACTGTCTTGCTGTGCAAGACAGTGCCCTAACTTGAGAGGAAAAGATAATGTAAGCTAATATCATTGCAGCGCCTGCGGCGCTGCTTAGCCACGGCAAGACAAACTTGAGAGGAAAAGATAATGTAAGCTAATATCATTGTTCAAAATGTTAATTTTAAATGGTCAATGTAATCCCATGTATAACAGTGATTTGGTTAAATCAGACATATAATGGTCAAAAGAGCACTTATTTAATCTAAAAATTCTCAAGGCTTTTATTTTGAAATTTTTGTAAAGCTTAATTTAAAATTTCCACACTAATTCCATGTGTAACAATGGTTGGTTAAAAATAGTTATAAAAGCCCAAAACACAAGCAGCTCTAAAGTCCAGCTTTTTTCTCTGAGTTCTGCCATAGTTAGAACTACAGTGATGCGTTTTTGTAGTCCTAATCAGCTGGCCCCTTTGTGTTCCGTTGCCATGGTAATGGATCCTCTGCCAGCTGTGAGTCAGACAGGGGGAGACTTAATTCTATCAGTTTGAGGCAGCCATTCTCCCTAAAATAGGCATGAGCCAGAAAGGAATCTTAAGGCTTTTATTTTGAAATTTTCATTGAGATTAATTTTAAATGGCCAATCTCATCCCATGTTTAAAACTAATTGGGTTAAATCAGTTATATAGTGGTCAAAAGAGCAATTACTTGATGAAAAAATGGTCAAGGCTTTTATTTTGAAATTTACATTAAGCTTAATTTTAATGGTAACACTAATCCCATGTGTAACTATGAAGTTTTGAAATCTGTTCTAAAATTCCCAAAAACCAAGTACTTGTCATGGCCAGCTGATTACTCATCAGTAGTAACTGACAGTTCTGCCATGTTGTAGTTTTTATATTCACCTATGACCTCTTCTGTAGGCACTGAGTGTTCCGCCATGTTGTAGTTCTAACGTTCAGGAATTGTAGTTCTAAAGAGCAGCTGATTCCTCCTCAGTAGTAACTGACAGTTCCACCATGTTGTAGTTCTGACAATCAGCTCTGACTCTTTTGTAGGCACTGAGTGTTCTGCCATGTTGTAGTTCTAACCTTCAAGAATTGTAGTTCTAAAGAGGAGGTCAACTGTCATGTCAGTGTGACACACAAGGAGAGACTTAATTCTAAATGCTTGAAGAAGTTAGTTTTTCTGACAGGCCTGAGAGAAATATTCAAGGTTTTATTTCGAAATTTTTATTAAGCTTAATTTAAAATTGCCAAACTAATCCTGTCTGTAACAGTGGTTGCTTACAATCAGTTATAAAAGCCCAAACACCATGTAATTCTAAAGCCCAGCTCATTCCTCCTCAGTAGTAACTGACAGTTCCACCATGTTGTAGTTCTGACAATCAGCTCTGACCTCTTTTGTAGGCACTGAGTGTTCCGCCATGTTGTAGTTCTAACCTTCAGGAATTGTAGTTCTAAAGAGCAGCTCAGTCCTCCTCAGTAGTAACTGACAGTTCCACCATGTTGTAGTTGTTATATTCACCTATGACCTCTTCTGTAGGCACTCAGTGTTCCGCCATGTTGTAGTTCTAACCTTCAGGAATTGTAGTTCTAAAGAGGAGTTCAACTGTCATGTCAGTGTGACACACAAGGAGAGACTTAATTCTAAATGCTTGAAGAAGTTAGTTTTTTGACAGGCCTGAGAGAAATATTCAAGGTTTTTATTTGAAATTTTCATTCAGCTTAATTTTAAATTGTCCAAAATTATCCAAAATTTAACAGTGGTTTTGTTAAAAAAGTCACATAATGCCCAAGAGAGCAATTACGTGATATAAAAGAATCTCAGGGCTTTTATTTTGAAATTTTCATTAAGCTTAATTTAAAATTGCCACACTAATCCTGTGTGTAACAATGGTTGCTTAAAATCAGTTATAAAAAGCCCAAACACA